CGGAAGGCGGAGGACCGCATTATGTGGAAGGCATTGCGGAAGCCCTATGTCCAGCAGTGGGCAGATAAAGGCTGATGATGATGATGATGATGACTTGAAGGGAGTATAGTTGTATTAAAATAGTATTGAAACTTGCACCTCGAGTCTTATGGTTTCTCTTTATCTCTCTCTCACACACACACACGCACACACAATTTTCTATAAATCTAGGCTTCGATACCAAATGACACCAGGTACATTGTACATTTCATATCATAAAAAACTTTAAATGTCTAGTCTTGTGTCGTATCCGCATTTTAACAAAATTAGGTAATATTTGTTAAACAAATTTATTTTAGATTTCATTAGTAAGGATGTGTTAGTTTAACTCAGTTATTTCCTAAGAGTTCCGTATGAATCATGTAGCTAATCACCGATTGCTGCTTGTAGCCAAATAGCATACTGGCAATATTCTCGGGGTCCCTGTTTCGTTTATAGAGAGATAAAGTGTTCAGAAGTTTTCGTTTAGATCCACATTTTTCGTCGATCAAAGTTTCCGTTAATTTAAGAATAATAATTATAAAGATAAGACGTTAATAAAGACTAGAGGTCCCGCAGTAGTCGAAATTCGACTATAATTAATTGGAATTGTAAGTTTGTACACTATTATGATTCTATTTTAAAAGACTATTATACTTCTATAATCACAAATTTCGCCGAGGCTACNGTGTTAAGTGGTTACTGGAGCCCATAGACATCTACAATGTAAATGCGCCACCCACCTTGAGATATAAGTTCTAAGGTCTCAGTATAGTTACAACGGCTACCCCACCCTTCAAACCGAAACGCATTACTGCTTCACGACAGAAATAGGCGGGGTGGTGGTACCTACCCGTGCGGACTCACAAGAGGTCCTACCACCAGTGGCTCACAAGAGGTCCTACCACCAGTGCTCACAAGAGGTCCTACCACCAGTGACTCACAAGAGGTCCTATCACCATATATAAATTAAGACGTCCGGTCTACTCATATGGAGCGATGCGACTATGTTGGAGGTCATGTTTGCGGATATTTATGAAATTATCAAAACGAAATGACCACCACACCACCACAAATGTCCCCATAGCAACTAATAATTATATGCATGTGTTAGCGGTTATTATATTGCAATGATGCTACGTCAGTCTCGGGATTGTCGGGCTGTAGATAGCACGTTAGGTAGTAATCCCAATATACGTTAGTCACTTAAGTGAACGCGTGTCTTATTAATCCTTGCCCGATATAGAAACTCAATACACACTTACCTATTCACATAGCAGGTATTCATGAAGATGAAAAAATAACGTATAATAAATATAAAATACGTTATGTTTATAAATTTGTTTACTTATTACTTTTAATTCAAGGCAGTCGTTAAACAATGTCATGAGACTTTGATCACATGTCTCAGGGTTATATCTATGGGTTCCGGTAGCTACTTAACACAAGATGAACCAGGAGATCGTTTACTCGTGTATACAATAAATAAATCTTATATATAAAATTCTCGTGTCACAATGTTAGTTACCATACTCCTCTGAAACGGTCTGACCGATTTTTATGAAATTTTATATGCATGTTCAGTAGGTCTGAGAATCAGTTACTATCTATTTTTCATACCCCTAAGTGATAGAGGTTGTCCTAACATTTTTTTTTAATTTTGGACAAATTTTTTTTCTTATAATGAGGCATTATGTGGTTGAATGAGGTTTTGTTATTTTTATATTCCCTCATCGTTCATAGCGCTACAGCCTCTTTCACTCATTTACCACATCCTTACACACTTTTTTTTTTCTACACTAGAAATTCCCTTAAAATCTTATATATGGCAAAACAACGTTTGCCGGGTTAGCTAGTAAATATCTGAAGCAGACTTGTTTTTATGCATATTTAAGGCAATTATAATGAATTTTTACTGAAAAATCAATTACATGTCACGTCAAGTTTTATACCTATCGGCTCCGATAACCACTTAAGAGTAACTAAGGCCGCTTAACTACTTAAGGCCGCTAACTCATGCTTCTTTTTCTCATGGTGCTGTATGACGGCATTCAAGTTGTGATTTCGATTAGTTTTTGTACGCATTTCTCAACCAACTCTGCCTTTACTGAAATAAAAGTTACGGCAAACAGATAAACAATAAATAAGAACTACACAATTTTTAATAAATTCAGTCTTTATTCACAAATAATTAAGTAAATGTATAAAAATGTGAAAATAGCTTTTCACAAGCGATGCTGTCTTCGGATAGAAATTCAGATTTCATTGATAAAATTATCAATTGTTTTGCTAAATTGAATGCTTCTTTGTCTAATAAAAGAGTCATTATACCAAATAATATGATTAAAACACTTTCACAGATTCAGTATCTTATCGATAAATATATTGGTGGCAGATAACAAATACCGAATTGTTTGTCATTTTAATGATAACGTCTCCGCGTTGGTTTGTATAACAATAATGTACTAGGTACGGTACGTGATGGTGATACATAATAGGTAGAGTTGGCGTTAACAGCGATATGAAATATGTGATCTGAATCGATTATTGATTTTTTATTTACCATTGTTCTTTGACTATATTTTATACATGGATAATTTGTGATATGTCGAAATTTAGACCACTCTAATCGAAAACTTGTATCGAATTTTATAACGATGAGGGGTTATTACAATGATTATAATAATGAATGTTTACAAAAAATATACTTCCGACGATGAAAAAATTTAATCGTGTATTTTAAAGGCGTGGAATTTATAAATTTACTTAATCATTGTTGGCAGAGCGCAGTGATGGATTCACGATAAGGCCCCTGAGGCCCAGGTCTAGGGCAGCATGATTTGAGGGGCGAAAAAATTCTATAATGCCAAAATTTTAGAGACGAAAAAAAGTAAGGACGGTCTCCTTTGAAAATGAGTTTAAATTAATTTTTATAAAGATCCATTATTTTAAATTTGAATTAAAAATAATGGGTCGAAAATTCAAAATTAATAAGATTTATTCTAATGTTAAGGGCGGCGCGATAAATAGGCGGCATCAAGCCTAAATCCATCACTGGTAGAACGCATTACGAAACTGCTTTTTTTCCCTACCTATGCTGATGATAGCCTTGAGAGGCTTTTTCAGCTTCTCCTTGACGTGTAGGTCAGCTCACGGGGCTCAAACCGGACTGTTGCTAACACGGGCCCTAGCAAGAGCAGTGCTTCGCAGAATCTACCACCGGATCGGAAACGCGACCACTGAGAAGAACTGGCGAGAAACTCTGGGCTGTATCTATCGGTTAATTTACTCGTCAAGCCCTTGGTCGCAAGTGACGGGTTCGGTGAGGAGGGTGACCGATTCTTGAGGTACCTAAAAGCACCGTTAATGGATCGGGAGGATCAGTAATTATGTGTTTAGGACGACGTCGACTGTTTACAATTCGGTCCGCAGGATTGGAAATGTAGTTACCGGCGACCACGATGAGAGGTCGATGTTCCTGACGAACCACGGGGCTCCGACGGCTATCCTGGAAAAACGGGCTTGAATGATTTGAGGGTTTCAAGTTAGTGCGGGCCACGTGAGCGAACAACTACACTTGCATAGGTCATGACGGGGCGTATGCGTATGTACAGTGTCACCTTATTTCTAAGGGACAATTTACTTCGCCTGCATATCATCGGGTAGAGACGTCCTAGTATGAATGCGGCTCGGTCGCGTACCGTCTTTATGTGGGGGCGGAATGTCATCCCTCTGTCGAGGTTGTCGCAAGTATATGACGTAAGTATTTGACCTTCGGGGCTCACGGTATGGGTTGGTCGCACATGGTGATGGGGCGAATGGCGGAGGTGTTTACGCGCCTATTCGGGAGTGGGATGCTCGAAGTGATAATCGGAGGGCGACCCCTTTTGAAGACCACCGCTGTGCTTTTCGTGGGGTTGATGTCGATGCGCCACTTCCGGAACCACTGTCTCATGGTGGTGTTGTGTTACTAGCCCATCTGTGCTAAGAAAACTACGTTTTTGTCATCAGAGAACTAAATAGTTCTAAAAATATGATAATGTAGACTTTGTCGGGAGTCTGTGCTATTTTAACATGTTTTTATTAGCTTGGTATGTTTTTTTGTTTGTTTCGTTCTAATATCCTGATTTTTGATACTTATCAACGGAACCAAAAAAAATAACTTAATAATTAGTTCGGTTTGCTATAGCGTGATTTTTTGTTTTAAGCTACATTTATTTTGTTTTCTGTGAGTTAGTAATGTGCAGACAAGTGTTATTAATATTAATAAGTGATACTAGTTTAACAGATGTAGTTGTACGCTGGCCAAGTTCAACACCTTGCTCTACCATATATCAAGACTGTGAAGAGAAGTATATTTTATGAAGGATTGAATGTATGTATGTATATACCTATTCCATTAATTTATTAGACTTTATAATATCATGTACGGTATCTTCACTTTTAACAGTTTTAAGACTTAAAGCCGCACTGTATTTATTAATTTCGTATTTAAATAATAAAAAATGTTTTTTTTTTTTTCAAAAATTTGCATACCATGTAAGAAATGTAACGATTTGTTATCATTTACATTTATTACCATTTCATTAGTTGGATATTTTAAAGATTCACGGATCACATTACTTTATCGATAAAGCATCGATTCGATGATTAAATTTTAAACTACAAAACGTCACTTATTTAGTAAGCTCTTCATAGATTATCGAAACACACCGTGAAAATAAATATTGAAGTGGGCGAATTGCGGTAGGTAGTTAATTAAGGTAATATTCTATCCAAGTACGAAAACTACAGAAGCTGACCGGTAAAAAGGGGCATGATATGTTGGAAAAATTCATTCAGTGTAATAGTTGTCGAAGAAATTTTTGTAACGGGCTTTGTGTCTGGACTAGCACAGAATAGCAGAGCACGAGTAAATTATCTTCATTGAAGACGCTCCATCTTAAAAATCCGCGTTGATTCTGTAATGTTATTTATAAATCTTAATACCTAAAAGTAACTTGATCTGTCAAGGCTGATGAGTTTTTGTCCAAAACTACGTACAGAGTTTTTGNTAATAGTTGTCGAAGAAATTTTTGTAACGGGCTTTGTGTCTGGACTAGCACAGAATAGCAGAGCACGAGTAAATTATCTTCATTGAAGACGCTCCATCTTAAAAATCCGCGTTGATTCTGTAATGTTATTTATAAATCTTAATACCTAAAAGTAACTTGATCTGTCAAGGCTGATGAGTTTTTGTCCAAAACTACGTACAGAGTTTTTGCTTTGTTTAATTTTAAATTTTTTACCTTACCTACTGTTGAGTTTCTTAATAAACTATTTGAAAATGCGCAGTTGATTCTGACACAGTATTTTTTACTAAGAGTAGGTATCAAAAAGTGTATTGCTACAATATTATTGTCTACAATAATAAGGTAATATGTTTAAGTAGTTTATACTCACTAAAGCCATGTTGTTAGGCACTGACATAACACTCGTGTAAGACGTCATGGAATCAACGCTTACTAAACAGCTTGCGACCTCGCACAATTCTGGAAACAACGCATTTAATTTTGTTTGTTTTATGTACTTTATTAGTCAAACTATAATAAAATTTTGTTTATTTTACTAGGTACTCCATTATAAGGCTCCGCTTTCGAAAAATGTTACAGCAAAATCGAATGATTCTGTTTTTTGCAGGCTTTTATGCGAGATATGTATTTTAGGCAAGATATGTATAACCCTACCGATTACAAAACGTGTTCACGGTTTTGATTTGTTTTAATCTCGTGGACTGCAATGTTGGCGGCTATAATTAGGTATGGTTCGCATAATTTTCACTGTGCCGTGTATCGGTCACGGTATTACTATAAAATATTTTTATAACTGCTTCAGCACTGCACAGTTACTTCATTTGGTAAAGAAAACTTCAAGAACTGAAGACTTTGGTCATTACTAATAAGTTTGTATTTTTATTGTTTCGTTTACCTGTCTTCGGAAGTTTTGTAGCTTGTGTTAACCATTAACGATACTATTTCTCTCAACTTATTATTCTATCTATGGCTCGTAACTTAGCTTAATAGAAATATCAGACAGAGGAAAACCACAATTTAGCATCTGTAACATTGTGGCTTTTTTTCAGCATTTCCTTCAAACAATCGACTTTTCTTTTTAGTTTTTTTTATAATATATGGTAAGAGTTACCTGGGGTCACCGGAGTTTTTAAGTTGACATGGTTAATGTTAATCACGACGTCTTGGTCCAATTTTCTTGATGAAAAATCTGAAATATTAAACACAAATTATTTGAATAGGTTTCAAAAACAAGTAAGTTTTTAAAATATGGGTATATGTGTTTATTATAGCTTGTTATTTTGTTTAATGACAAAGGGATCTTACAATATGTGAGCTCGGTAAGTTTCTCACAGACGGCGTGTAAGTTAACTTATCGAAATGATGCTTCAGTGTCGGGGTTGAGTAAGTAGCTAATAGATGGCGCTGTAGTGAAAGTCTAAACGTTTCATTTAAGCCACAACTTATAGCGACCCGCCCTCGCTTCGCTTCGGGAACTGTAATTTATTATTGATCTTATTGAATATTCTTTTATACAAATCTGCTCCTGTCGGACAGTAACAAACCCAATAAAAAAAGAACGTAACAAACAAAAAATCTAATCTTTTCCCTTCTTAAAATAATGGTTCACTATTATTGCGATAATGGCTTAGGTAGGTACTCATAAAAGATAGATACATATATGCTATTACAGGCTTTTTTGTAGGACTATTTGAGATAAAAAAAAATCATTTTAAATTATATACGTGTAAACTCCAACGGTTTTTGCGGCTCACGCAAAATTAGTTCGCAGGTGGCAGATTTTTTTCCTTCTTACTAGACACTTATCGTTAGGTATATTTTGGGTAATTCACACTATATTTTTATAAATTATAGCTTATGTGTTATTCTGATGTGTAAGCTTAGTGTCATATTTATTTAAATCGAATCCACAGCCTAAAAAATAAGTTTCAAGCTTTTAGTTCTAAAATGACAACTTTTCATCCCGCCCTTTCAATCCTTTACAACCTTTTTTCGTATTAAAAAATAGCCCATGTTCTTTCTCAGGCTCTAGACTATCTGTATACGATTTCATTTAAATCAGTTCAGTAGTTTTGGCGTGAAAGTGCGACAGACAGCAGACAGAGTTACTTCCGCATTTATAATATTTAAAGTATTAAAGTATGGAAGTATGGATTTGTATATGTGTAAATGAACATTAAGATTTGGCCTCTAAGCGTTCCTGAGCCGTTGTGATTGATACTCCAAGAAAGGCTTCTATTAATGCAACTTTTTTTTCCTAGCTATGCCGATAGCCTTGAGATGCTATATCAGCTTCTCCTTGACGTGTAGGTGAGCTCACAGGGCTCAAGCCGGGTGTGTTGCTAACACTGGCCCTAGCAAGAGCAGTGCTTCGCAGAATCTACCACCGGATCGGAAACCCGACCCATTGAGAAGATCCGGCGAGAAACTCAGTGGGCTGTGTCTATGGGTTAATTTACTTGCCGAGCCCTTGGTCGCAAGCGACGGGTTCGGCGAGTACGGGGACTAGTAGAAGCACCAACAATATACATAGCTCTCTAATACATAGAATCGTTTTAATAATATCTTTATGGTATACGAAATCTGAATAATCCCTAACGCCTCTAGATTTAGTATCACTTGGATGACATTATCTGTTTACGATTCGTTATTGCCTTTTGAAGAAAAAATAACGGCTATTTCTAATTTTTCCAAAAATTTCTATTTTAATAACACTAAAACTAATTAATCTATATTTATTAATGTACACAATACAAATGCGAAAGTGAATTTGTTTGTTGCGGTTTCAGGTCTTAACTAAACAACCGGTGATAAAATGCTAGCTAAATAGCTAGCTAAAGCTAGAACTCTCGATTTATTTTCAACAGAAATAAGACAATGGTAACTAGAACGGAGTCACTACAATTACACAGCCCTACCATTAACACTTCAGAGAGGAGTTAAGGGGAAAAGGACGCCTATTAGGTAAGACGGAAATATTCTACTACTACTGTTACTATTTGACGATAAGAATACATTCGTGGTAAACGAGGGTCGCCTAACATAGGTATACTCTGGTTTATAGCCGAGTAAGGTATTATAATTTGACCTGAATAACCATCAGTTGTCTTTACGAATGATTCCCCTGTGTATACGCAGATACGCAGTAAGTTCATCATCTTGTTATAGAATTTAATTTAATAGAATATTATATACATACTTTATGTAAATCATTCATAAAAATTACGATCTATTATGTATATAAACTAAACGTACCAGCACGAAATTTTAATATTACAGGAACTTCATTGCCTAATGTGACGAAGCAAGGTACTCGAGTCCCACAACCTAGTATTTCTACAGTCCTTAAGTCGTAGGCAGATCCTGAAAAATATATTAAAAAGATTATTCAAACATACTTTAACAGTAGCCTTTTCAAAGGCCCTAGCTCGAGGCCAAGGGGTTACAAGCTTGTCAGAAAATTTTGGAGAAAGGTATTTGTATTTATTGGTATGCGAATCACCACTGTTCACTTTTTGTATCTTCTAAGCATTATATAGGAACAGTAACATTGTGAGAAATCCATGAGAAATGGTTGAACTCTTATTCACTTTGGAAAACAGTTGCGCATTTCAGCCTCTACAAGTGGTAGCCTGTAATTTTTGCCTATTTACATCATCATTTTAGAATATAAAAACTTGTATTATTAAAATGTTAATATCTAACAATTCTTCTTAAAATCTATGCTAGTCTAAAATTTAACTAAATAAATAATATATAAACACAAGTTAAGTAGGCTCTTTGTAAGTCCTGCACAGAGGTCCTGCGTGTTAATTTACAACTGTGAACTATATTTATAGTGCGAGCGTAGGCAGTATGATATTAGTAATCACCTAGTAAGCCACGAGAACGCTTTGCTGGAGATATGAGAGAGTATGTAGGGCGAGGACTACGAATAGGAAGATTTGTTACTAAACGTGCGATGTCGCTCAGTAAGTCAGTGAGCAACGGGCCGAAGGTTGTTGTTCGGAATTCATATAAATTATGAGAATGCCGGTGTTGAGTTCAGGTTTTGTCGAACGTATTTTATACTAAAGGGTCTTTCAAATAGGGCGGGTCGATGTTGACAGTTTGTGGCGGCCATTTTGTTTTGGTGGCATCTGTCAGATGCGCTATTATTTCTTCAGTTACTGATGCCAAATCACCATGGCAAGTTACACGATTGAGCAGCACGTCCAGATGATAAAATTTTATTATCAAAATGAGTGTTCATTAGTGCACACGTTGCGCGCATTACGTCCATTTTACGGCAGACGCGGTGGCCCTTCAAAGTCGACTCTCCAACGTTTGGTGACCAAATTCGAGACTACTGGTTCGGTAAACAACCAACCAACACCCTTATGTCAAAGGAACGCCAGATCGGCCGAGAACATCGCTGCTGTCCGTGAGAGTGTGCAGGAGACTCCGAGGCAGTNTTTTTTGCGGGCCGGGGGCCGAACCTCTTACGAGGTCCCCGCGCCTAGGGGGCGCGCGGGGTATGTGGGACTCAACGATCTGCAGGTGTTGAGAGCAGATCGCGGGCCCAAGGATTTTAGGGCCCACCCACTAAACGACTCCCCTGCACTCTTACACCCGACGTCCGATCTCCGTCCGGGGTCAGAACCCGTTCAGAGTAGGGGGTTTCCCGCGGTCAACACTACAACCAGACACGCGGCGCCACCCCGAGGACGTCCGACCGACGGGTCGTCGAGGCGATAGTCGACGACCAACGACGTCGGTCTCCGCGGTAAAGTGAATGACCATAGACAACGCCGTTTGTTCGCTGACTGGGCTACAGAACGTTTGGAAGAGGACCCCGATTTTGGCCGAAAAATCATCTTTAGCGACAAAGCGCACTTTTGGATGAATGGTTTTGTTAATAAGCAAAATTGCCGTATATCGGAGGATCACAACCCACATGAGGTTCACCAGGTGGTAATGCCTCCACAAAAAGTTACTGTTTGGTGCGGATTTTGGGCCAGCGGCGTCATCGGTCCGTACTTCTTCGGAAACGATGATGGCGTGGGCATTACTGTCAACGGCAAGCGCTACAGATCACTGATTAACAATTTCTTTTGGCCTGAATTGAACAATATGGACGTAGATAACATGTGGTTCCAACAAGACACAGCGAGCGACACAATGGACATTCTGCATGAACGGTTCGAGGGTAAGATTATCTCTCGCAGAGGTGACGTGAATTGGCCACCAAGATCATGCGATTTGACCCCGCTAGACCTTTTCTTGTGAGGTTTTCTAAAGTCGCAATCAACCGATGCCCTGAAAGTCAACATAACGCAAGCCATTGCTCAAATTCAGCCGGATCTATGCAGTAGAGTAATAAAAAATTGGACCTCTCGGATCCGTGCCACCGTTCGAAGCCGCAGTGGACATTTACTTAAACAATGTCATATTTCATGAATAATGGCATAATTGGGCCATTCAAATAAATAAATAAATTCTTTAATATCTCACATACAGCTTGTTTTATTTAATTTCAACATCGACCCGTCCTTGTTGAAAGACCCTTTATAATAGCTACTTTACAGCTTCTTTTTTATCATAGATACACGAATGTGCTCACGACCCAACCGGTTAAAGTGGTTATTGAAGCCCATAGTCATTATAGCATGAGTGCCACCACCCGCCTTGAGACAAGATATCAAAGGTTATTTGTTTAGGCAGCATTACGGTGATTTGTAAAGTAGGTATAAAATATAATCATCCATAATCTCTATATATGTATATGAATTGCTGTTCGTTTGTCTCGCTAAAACTCGAGAACGGCTGGACCGATTTGGCTAATTTTGGTCTTGAATTATTCGTGGAAGTCCAGGGAAGGTTTAAAAAATATAAAAAGCTCGGAATTATATAAAAACAAACAATGTTGTTTTTCCTTTGATGTGTCTTTTATTTATTGACTGAGGCACTACGAAGTTTGCCGGGTCAGCTATGTAACATAAAAATAATCATTGCTGTTGCAATATTTGCGCGCTATAATAGGATGCGCTATAATAGACGAGAAATTGCGCCAGAACCATTCCATTTGTCACCATTTGACGACAACTCCATAAATCTATATTTGTACAAATAAATTAAGAAATACTAAATAAAATATTAAACCTATAATTGACTTCAATCTCCATTTATTTAATATGTATTCAAAAATCAATGATTAAATTACATATTCTTTTTTTTAATTGAACAAAAGCTGTCCCTACTTAAAGACCATATAACTTAGACAAAGTTAACATAATGTGTTTTTATTTTTACATATATGTATTAGTAAATTATAATAAGAATGAAAAGTGGAAAACAACATGTTTAATTAAGTGTGTTTTTTACAAAAATCTTTGTTATTTTGTGTTAAATAAGCATAGAAATTCAATTTTCGTTTGCTAAACATTTCCTGGTTAAAAATGAATAAATAATCGGGGACAAGCAACACACGGTCACCTCGCTTCAAACTAGGCCGCTAGGATTCCCTAGTTAATAAATATAGTTATTCTACATATTCCAAGAAAATATTATTTGCCTGTTTATGAAAGTACAGATGTTATTTAAAATAAGGCAGGCAATTCAAATTTTTATTTCGTTTAAAACAATTTTTTAATTAATTTTAAATGTTAAGGGTTCCATATAAAATTGCATCTTCAAATTTCAAAATTCAAACACATTTAGGGGAAAAAACAGAATTTCGATAAAAATTTACATTGCCTAGGACAAGTCTAGCGAGTACGGTGGATGATGTATATTTGTTTTAACTACACGTACATATAATAATGCTAAATTGGTTTGTCGAACAGTTTGAGGTATTGCGATACCCTGAAGTTACCCTATTAACGGCAGAGATCCATTGAAGATCGTGTTGACGTGTTTCAACAAAGATATTACGATATTTAATCTGCAATCTTCGATCTATTTGATAGGAATACACTATAGGGGAACATGAACGAGATCACAGCAAATAATTTATCAAATGATTCGGTTGTTTGATAATAATTTGAAAAATATCCACCTTATACAAAATATTCACTTGTAATAATTTTTTTTTTTTGTAATTTTTGTTTTTTTTATTGCTTTTATGGGTGGACGAACTCACAGCCCACCTGGTCTTAAGTGGTTACTGGAGCCCATAGACATCTACAACGTAAATGCGCCACCCACCAGATATAAGTTCTAAGGTCTCAAGTATAGTTACAGCGACTGCCCCACCCTTCAAACCGAAACGCATTACTGCTTCACGGCAGAAATAGGCAGGGTGGTGGTACCTACCCGCGCGGACTCACAAAAGGTCCTACCACCAGTAGTAATTAAATAAATAATAACTTTTTTTGTTTTCGTTATGAAACCGTATGCTTTGGTAGTGATTATTGCTAATGGTATGAAAACATTGATTTATTGAAACTACTCGTTTCAACCTATCGTACTTTGGAATTATGATAAAAAACTTCCCTCTTGTAGGTATTTCAAACACTAGTTTCATCACAATCACAAAATCGGCATAAGAACCTTATCAAAACAAAGACACATACATCCAAATACCTATATATTTTTAATAGATAAACCAGTTTTCAATGCAACACCAATGAGTAACCACAAGATTTCAAAAACAGCAATCTATTATTTCCTTCGGAATATCGCAGTAGGTATGGTTTTTTTTATCTGATGAAGATTTCGATAAGAGTTACTAAAAAAGAATTCTCTGAAAGTACACGTTTGTATTGATTAATTAGATAAAATCTCGCCTGTCATATTCTTATACACACGCTTGACTGAAAGTTATAACTGCTGTATATGGACATTGACAATCGCCATAGCCACGCTACTGCCTACCACTAAATTACATAAACTTAAAACATTGCTTTTAAAATAGCAAATTTAAATAAGAAAAAATAATGTAAAAATGGAAAAGTGTATATCCCATTCCGGAAATCATATATCGCAAGTTTACTGTCTTAATATAATAGTTGACTATTAACAGGCACCTACTGTATAAATAATAGAAAGATAAGAATTAACAAACGAAATCTGAATGTGATTCTACTTAGATTCGATACTAATAAGGCAATAAAAGAAAAGTTGTCCATTATAATTATCCAGGAGTAAAGCCATTAAGTTCAAGCTTCAAAGACAATCCAATATTTTTATTTGTTATTAATGACATACTTAAAAATCCGTAGCCCATGTCTTATTAAAAACGAGTATTTGTTTATTTCTTATTTCACGGGCAAAATATTATGATAAAAATCTATTTTTAGAACTGCTTACTCATTCGTTTTGCAAGATTTAAAAACGAATAGGAACAGCGCAAAACGTGGCAAAAAAGTGCGATGCGAGAAAATATCTTGAAAATCAAAAAGTTGCTTGATTTTTTTTTGTTATTCTTCTTCTTATTAGATAGTATAGGGTAGATCAACAATCAAAGTTGCATCACATAATAATCATATTTATGATTTATACGAATCGCTTGGACATTTCCTGAACCAGATTCAGGAAGTCTGACAGTTTAGGTACAGGCGGCACAGCTTGTACCAATTTGCATTTATTATTTCCTTATCCAATAATTAAAATCATAATAAAAAAAAAAATGACGTAAACTGAAAATATTCCTTTATTAATCAGAAATATTTATTTCCTAGAAACTAAAAATGTCAAAAATGAATATAATTTAATTACGTACTATCTATTAATAGAAATCGACTGGTTATGTTTACATTGTATTTCTTTGGATATCGCCATTCAGGTCGAGTTTGAAGATGAACATTTTTAACGTAACCAATCCATTACAACTACTATTGTTGAATGTTGACAAACCCTCTATTGTCAACAAACAGAAAACAAGTATGTATCCATTATTTTTTGCACAAAATACTTAACTGTAAACATTTTAACATTCATCCGTTTTTATCTGATTACATAGTGATAGAAAATCAGAAACATAGTTGTTTGCATCACTTACCACAGTCTTCGAACACCACAGAGGAAGCCAAGACACTAACAAAGGCTAGTTGTAATAGTAAAGGCACTAGCATAGCTTTAAAATACTTGATTTTTTAGTTTAAAAGCTTGTCACAAAAAATATAATATCGCAAATGATTTATGTACCTGGTCCAAGAGATTATCGGTTTTTGATAATATAGCCACAAGCGTTTCATAGGTTGCGAACAACATTTAATCATGAATAATTAGTTTTATTAATTATTAAAATGACGTCTTCATCGTCTTGTAAAGATGTAATTCCGATAATTAGTCATGCAAATGCTTTGTATGATTCCAGAAAGAAATTGGCGATGAAGCGACCGGAAAAACTATTTATAAAGGATGATTTAAATTACTATTAAAATTTACTTGCAAGTTTTGAAATAATGAGCACTGATTACAATTAGCTTTCCATCCTTTATTTGCGGTCTCCCTTGATCGGCAAGCATGATTGCTTAGTGGCAGAAGTAGACATTATGGCGGTACGATGCTACGTGCGGCGTTGGTGTGGCCTCAGTTCCATTTGGCCTAAGTCTTAAAAGCTTAAAGCTAATAATTACCCTTCAAAGAGGACTGCTTATCAGCTTTTTGGCTGGATAGTGTTTTTTATGCGGTTCACCGATTAATACCAGAAGTAGTAATACTAATATTTATTGTAAGCATTATGAAGTCGTCACGGCCTAAGGGATAAAATGCATCGAGCGATGCAACTATGACGGTGTTCAAATCCTGCAGACAGAGACCTACCATTTTTTGTAAGAAAAACGTAGGACTTTCACGATGAAAGAATACTTCGTTTATTCGCATCAAAAACAGACAAACAAAATTTATAAACTTGTCTAATTATTGGTGGGACTTATTAGGATTCCGTAAATATCACTATGCAGACTATTTATACCGCAAAGCAGTAAATCGTTCCGGTTTTCTGCAGGTCGACCTTATTTTTCAAGACTGATGGTTGCATTCGCGTTGTGATATCTATGAGTTCTAGTAACCAATTACTATCAGGTGTGCCGTGCTCGGTCCCATCCTTTTTATTGGGTTGGGGGGAAATTTCTTCACGAAATTCCCATACCAAAGGGGCCTCGGAGTGTGGGGGAGTCACCCACTAAATGACTCCCCTACACGACCTCCAAGCCCTGCCCAGGTCAGAACCCACGAGCGACAGCAGGGGTGACCGCGATCAACATAGCCACTAGATACGTGGCTAAGGACGCCTGACCGTCGGTCGTGATGGCTGGCTGCCGAAGTCACCTTCTTTGTAACGTGATCGATCAGAAAAAGAGCAAATAACAACGGCTATAAACAAATTTACCACTAATATTTCCTCTACCTTAATTTTTTTGAAAGGAATTATAGAGCCGTTTTAATTGACCCACTGAAAAATTTAACTCAAGAAATTTCATACAATTTGAGGTGCATGAGGTTTTACGGAGTCCATTTATTCTATCCATTTCATGTTGTAGCTATCTGATAATGAGAAAATTTTACTGATAATCAAATCAAATCAAATCAAACTTTATTACACGGCTTACAAAGTTATTGATAGTTATTTTATAGAACAGCGTGTTTCTACCAGGTCGGCGTGCAAATATTATTCAAAATTATGTACATTAAATGCAGTCGGTAAATATATTAATTAATTAATGTATCAAACAACAAATTAAATGAATTGAATAAGAATTAGTTATTTAGGTCATAAAACGAAAACAAAGAACAGAAAGAAGCGAATTTAAAATTAACATAATGATTTATCATTTAAAAAATCGTTAACTGTATAATAACAGTATAATCACTTTATCTGCTACTAGCGACCCGCCCTCGCTTCGCTTCGGAAACATTAAAACACACATGAAACCAAAAAAATAAAATAAAAAAATAAATAAAAAAAAGTAGCCTATGTTCATCAGGGACAATGTCGGCTTCTAATGGAAAAATAATTTTTCAAATCGGTCCAGTAGTTTCGGAGCCTATTCGAAACAAACAAACAAACAAATCTTTCCTCTTTATAATATTAGTATAGATATGGCGCTGCCCCTTTTAAAACTGAACCCTTAAAGTTTGGTCCCTCCAACCATTTTTAATGGATTTCAAATCTATTATTCTTTTAATTATAATGTTGACTTTTTATTTTGTAATAATTAAATTCCATCTCATCCCGTGCTATTCTATGTCATTAAATCTCATCCTATACGATGATTTCTAATTCAGTTCGTCTAAAAGACATGGTTTCGGCTTCATGAGGCAGTCCTCGGACCTTTTTCTTATCGTCGCGGTTGTGAATTGACATATTAATGCAATCCTATAGTCAAGTCTATCCAATTTAAAAAAATTAAAACAATTTTTCTGTGTCAAATGTCGGAACTTTTTAGTGGGAGTGCGAGGATCGAAATTGTGTGGTTTTTTTTTATTTTGTTAATTTAGTATTTCTTCGGGTTTACATGTTTAATAACGGTGGCTTATTAACTGATTAAAAATGAAAATGGGAAAATGAAACAAAGCGGCTGGATGTAGCTTCTCGGGATCGCCAAAAAAGTCTCAGCAAATAACCATCATTTTGCTGAGACTTTATTTCACCTCATNGGGAGTGCGAGGATCGAAATTGTGTGGTTTTTTTTTATTTTGTTAATTTAGTATTTCTTCGGGTTTACATGTTTAATAACGGTGGCTTATTAACTGATTAAAAATGAAAATGGGAAAATGAAACAAAGCGGCTGGATGTAGCTTCTCGGGATCGCCAAAAAAGTCTCAGCAAATAACCATCATTTTGCTGAGACTTTATTTCACCTCATCTCATCTCGTTTCATTTAATTTCATCCCAATTGCTTACATTCACAAATAAATCAACTTCACCTCATTTCATCCATATAAAATTTCACCATAGATGGATAATAATATACTTAATATTAATTTTCACTCGCATTATTTTTTTAAAACAGAATATAAAAAATTAAGCTATATATTATGGTGATAATATGTTACCTTCCTACTCTGTCAACTGTCAAATGTCAGTTTGTCAGTTTCAAATTTTATGCTGGCTTCGCTGCAAATGACCGTATCTAATATTAATACCTTTAAAACTCATACACTTAATATTTGAGGTGTGAATTGAGGCATTACTTTTCCAGGAAAAATAAATGGAAGAACAATAATTTTAGAAATGAATAATATTTAAATTTCTGAATATAGTAATTTTTTTAAATGTCCCACTGCGCTTTTTTTAACAATATTTAATTAAATTAATTTAACTATGATTGGTAAATCGTTCTTTCGATTGCATTGTAAAAGATGTAACTTTATCGCTATTCATATTCGAATGCGTCACAAATTAAATAAACTGAGTGAAAAACAGCCGAAATTGGCCGAAGATGTTCTCAAGTTTTTAAATAGTTCACCAGAATACAATGGTTTGAAAGAACAACTTCCTACGTCATTACTTAGAAAATATAAAGCACCTGAAAGTATGTATTTGATAAATAGAAAAACAGCAAGTATAATTGCAAATACTGTAAAAAGCTATTTTACCCAAGGTTCACCATTGATTGAGGTTAACCCTGGCTTGGGTATTCTTACTGAAAATATTCTAAAATGTCAAAATAACAAGATATACTTATTTGAACAGTCTAATCATTTTTCTCCATACTTGGATGTAAGTTTCAAGTAAAAAAATATATATGTGAGAATGTACAATTTCAAATAAAGTAACATTATTTCAACTCGTAATACAGGACTTACAACAAAAATACCCAGGCAGGATCTCATTCAAAATAGCAGATTTTTTTGGAATGTGGAAATTAGCATTCAAAGATAAAATGGATGATGGAAACAGAATTCAGGAATTGCTAGGAGATTTATCTACTACTGACAAAAGTAAGTTATGTTGGTAATAATTTCAACTTCCAAATAGAAAAGCAATAAGAATCAAGGATAAACAATAATGAATGCTCAATTTCAATATTGCCTCATTGTTAAAGTATAATGGGTAACATAATATAGTTGAATCAAAAATTTTTTTTTAAAATTAATTTGATATTTCTAGTTTTAATTTTAAAATTATGAATAGTGTACCTAAGATCATGAAGAGTTAGGGATTGTAGCTAAGGTGATATTATGACATTACTACAGTAATGCGTATTTAACAGTTCTTCAATTTTTGTCATTCCAACAATTAATCCACTCTAAAGAGCCACAAAATTTACGAATGTATGAATGATTCAGGTTCTTATTAGCTTTTGAAATATGTAAGTTGTATCTACATCACACTGCTATTCCAACATTACAAATGAAAAGTAAATTTGTTGGTTTGTTACCCTTTCACTTATATTTTCAGTTACTTAATGGTATGGTTTATTTAATAGAGGTATAAGAAAGATTATTGTTAAATTATCCAACCAGCTAGGTTTTACCTCAGCAATTTTTTATTTCAGATAGGACTGTCAAGATACTGGGATCAATGCCAGGACTATCTTTCATGAAACATTTGATTTACAATGTATTATTCCATAACACTACAAATCAGCTCGGTAGACCTGATCTGTTTATAACAATGCCTGTACATCATTATGAGGTACGAGAAAATTATGCTAAATAAGAGGAGATATAAAAATTTAAGCATGAGCTATAATTGTTAAAGATATAATATTGTTTACCATTTACAAACAGCTGCTGTTACAATACAATTGGAACTTTGATTTATTTTTCTATTGCATTGTTGGGTGCGCTCATGGCCCTGTTGATATTAATTGGGGTTACTGTAGCTAAAAGACATCACAATATGATTGCTGCCATCTATATTGAGACATGTGGTTGAAGTCTTAATTGTACTGTATAATAGTGGTCTCATTCTTCAAACTCCCACTTAAAACTATATGGTTTATTGAGTTACTCTGCTATGTATGTATATGAATAAAAATAAAAATCAACATGGGTGGTCACTTTTTTTGAAATTGACATTGTTTTCCATAATCTTTATTGTGAAATTCATTCATCACCAATGTGGTGTAGGCTATTTATTGAGTGCCGTATTGCCCTGTGCCCATTATGCTTATTGGAATCATAAAATTCTTAACACAATCCTATTATAATAATGGCAATGGTCTTCTAATGACAGATTGAATGTAATATTTGTTCATGAAATTCTAGATGATTATTTTTGTGAATATTTTAGTTTCTTACAGATAAGGAGGTTCAGCAATCAAAACAGAAATCTGTGCCAACCTTATTCCAGCTTTTGTTTGATTGCAAAACATTAACAACGGTTACAAAAGCCCATTTTCTGCCATGGACATTGAGTAATAGCAAACACCATTCTGTGGTAATAAATCTATCTTACATATATTTAGATTTTTGTACATGATCTGTTTGTGGAAAACAAGTTAAATAATTAATAATAATTAATAAAATTTACAACTAATAAACTACAAGGCATCATGACCCTGTACAAAGATGAGTTGTTTGGATCACTCTGTTCTTTCACCAAAGCTCCTAAACAAATTTAGTCTAATTTCTGGCTTACACCGTGACTGGCAAGGCTTATTAACTGCTCAAACTGCACAGCAACCAACTTGAGATTGCATCACCGGATGTACCTCTGACAGTTCCCTGCCTGGTATCCACATTAGTCACTGAGCTGCCGTAAAAGCTAAGTAAGGAGCTTCAGGTCCAAGACAAAGATGAATTCAGACTATCAGGAATTTATATTAATACTGTTAATATAATATCTTTTACAATCTTTACCATCTTCATGATCACTTAATGCTCGTGAGATTATGTTCTTGAAAATTTATTGGGACCCCTACAGGTCTTACCTTTTAAACTTTCGTTTATTTTTTACATTTACCAATACTATTTATTGTACTTACATATTATACTTACCTTATGCTTAAGTCACCTTTTATTTTTAAAGATTTTGGTCGGAACGGTAAATAGCATGAATAGGTCTTTTCTGCGCAACGAAAATCGGTTCAACCGGAAATACAGTAGAAACTAGCCTATTGAGTTTCTCGCCGGATCTTCTCAGTGGGTCGCGTTTCCGATCCGGTGGTAGATTCTGCGAAGCACTGCTCTTGCTAGGGTCAGTGTTAGCAACTCTCCGATTTGAGCCCCGTGAGCTCACCTATACACGTTAGGGTGAATCTGAAATAGCCTCTCAAGCCTATCGGCATAGGTAGAAAAAAAAAAGTAGAATGTGACATTGAAAATGTATTGAAGTACTTGAGCTCACCATGTCTTTATTAATGTACATTCCCTTAATGGTAGACCAGATGCGCCTAGCTCCAACTAACTACTCTAGTAATAACGACAATACAAACCAGACCATTTCATGTTATAGCTGAATGAACACAACCTGTATTTGGTAAATATAACACAAAAGGAAAAACTACCATGTCCAGCAGAATATTTGCCATTGTTATGGTATTTTTTCAAACCACAAATGTTCTCGAAATCGACGAGAGTTATTCCGATGTTGGAGTAAGTTCCTTGTTAATAATATTGCAATCGAATATTAGGTTTAGAAAAATAAAATAACATACTTATTAAGATACTTGTGAAAGATGGCGAAAATATAATAAAAAAGAAACCCTGTATATCAAACAAACTATGAATATATCAAACAGTTTGAAGTCGTCGTGGCCTTACGGATAAGGCGTCCGAGTGCGTTCGTGTTGACCGATGCACCGGTGTTCGAAACTCAGGCGGGTACCAATTTTTCTAATGAAATACGTACTTAACAAATGTTCACGATTGATTTCCACAGTGAAGGAATAAGATCGTGTAATAAAAATGAAACCCGTAAAATTATAATTTGCGTAATTACTGGTGGTAGGACTTCTTGTGAGTCCGCGCCGTGTATACCACCACCCCGCCTACTTCTGCCGTGAAGCAGAAATGCGTTTCTGTTTGAAGGGTGGGGCAGCCGTTGTAACTATACTTGAGACCTTAGAACTTATATCTCAAGGTGGATAACGCATTTATGCTGTGGATGTCTATGGGCTCCAGTAACCACTTAACACCAGGTGGGCTTTGAGCTCGTCCATCCATCTAAGCAATAAAAAATTAATAAATAAAAAATTATAAAGTAGGTAATAAAATCACCAGCCTGGTTTTAAGTGAGTTCTGTAGCTGATAGATACTACAAAGTGAATGTCCAAACCCTCCTGAGATATGAAGTGCAAGTTTAAATGGTATTGTATCCCATCCTTCAACCCGGAACACATGACTGCTTCACGGCAGAAATATGATGGAGGTACCTACCTACCCATTCGGACTTCTAATACACCCTAATAACAGTATACGCCGGTTGACGATCGTTGTACACTGATAGAATACTCAGAAAACACTACTGACTATTCTCCAGAGAAACCCTTAGTTGCCTTTTACGAAATCCACGAGAAGATATGGTCTTATTTATTGTAAGGCAACAAAAGATCCTTTAACAAAACCGCCAATTTTATTGAAATTGACAGTCTTTTGTAGCATATATTAACTTTATCAGGCAATGGATACCAGGGTGCGGAGTGTGGCTTATAACTGGACAGGATCCACCGGACAGCAATAAATTATTATCCCCAGGAAAAGATGACGCGTCACTGCCACATATGACCATATTTACAGAGTTTGGTGATCTTAATTTACAACAAAAAATTACTGTTTTCAAAAGGTACATTTTCTATATATCATAAAAATGTTTCACGGTTGTCTTTATGTAAATAGTATTACTTTACCAGCTCTTGCCACGGTTTCTCACTGAAATTAAAAATTTTGATAAGAACCCATTAAATAATGGTAATCAAATGATCACTCCAAACTTTTTTCTAATATAAAACAAAGACGTAATTGACTTTTAAAATTAAAAAAAAATTACTGGTGGTAGGACCTCTTGTGTCCGCACGGGTAGGTACCACCACCCTGCCTATTTCTGCCGTGAAGTTGTAATGCGTTTCGGTTTAAAGGGTGAGGCAGCCGTTGTAACTATACTGAGACCTTAGAACTCCATATCTCAAGGTGGGTGGCGGAATTTACTTTTAAAATTAAAAAAAATTACTGGTGGTAGGACCTCTTGTGTGTCCGCACGGGTAGGTACCACCACCCTGCCTATTTCTGGCGTGAAGTTGTAATGCGTTTCGGTTAGAAAGGTGAAGCAGCTGTTGTAACTATACTGAGACCTTAGAACTCCATATCTGAAGGTGGGTGGCGGAATTTACGTTGTAGATATTTATGGGCTCCGGTAACCACTTAACACCAGGTGGACTGTGAACTCGTCCACTTATCTATGCAATAAAAAAACTTATAAAATAAATATAAAACTTTTTTACAGATTTATATCTTGGCCGGAGTTTGAACAATGTCAGTTTAGAATAACTATGGAGAATAATCTGCCGAAATCTGTAACTCAGTTTGAAGATGATGATAAAGATTCAATCCCAACGATTACACACATAGACCACATGGACCATTCGGACACGGAAGTGGATTCGCAAGAGTTTGATAAATAAAACAGTTTTTTCTATAGTATATGCGTTTAACTTCTCTTTTATAGCATTCAAACAAACAGTGAAATAAATAAAGTAAATAATTATAACGGAATAATATTTCGTAAGTGAATAAATATCATGTGGTTTCTATAAAATACTGAAAAATAATTTCAATAAATTAAATTTGTTGTTACTAAACATAAATAATACCTTGTCTGCATAAATTTGCTAAAATAATATAAATTGCAAATAATACCTAATGAATGTGACTTACATACTTTTTCTCATTTTGAAATTGTACATTGTGATGAAAACGTCTGTAGATTTAATAATTTATTTTATATTATTCACAATATATACAGATATGTATTATACCAATTTACAATTTATTACTTTTTTTATAAACTTAATTATAAAATTTCTTTAACTTAAATTAATTTCGTTAATTATATTCTACGTACAATGATAAGGACGGGTATCACACTAACACTCGATAAACGAGCAGTTACAATTAGAATTCTACACTAATATTCCACTACTCACAATTATTAAGTATTACATGTTTTGAAATGTTTCAACTATTGATTTCTATGGCTTCAACTACATTCAGTTAACTCTGTACATAAGACAAACCTGTTGTTACGAACAGCTTTTACTTAGTGTGAATCGAATTTATAAATTTTTCATTAAAGTACCTTCATTCTACAAAGGTACAGTTGGTTTTCGACATCTAATTTTGACGTGCCTCACACGTCCATCTTAAAACCTTTAAATTATATTGAAATATTGCAAGATTCTATTCAGTAAGCAGGTAACACAGGACTAGGAAACCGACCGAAACTTATTAAGTATTTTAATGTTTCAAGAATAGTTTTAAAACTTAAATATTAATTTTATATATTTATAAAGATCACAATACATATATTAAAAAGCTACGCCCTTCACCAGATTATTGTTATATCAAATTAAGTACATACATTCGTTATAACTATATTAAAATTCGATAACTTTGTTATAAATTTTGGAAATGCTTCTCAGTGTGTGTCTTTAAATTATTGGACTTGGGGGTAATATAATTTAAACCTGGAATATCAAGTGGTATTTCACTTTTTCTCGCGATAAATTTATTGGTACTTTTCTGGGAATTTAAATTAGTGTGAACGTTTAGGCTTATTGTGCTTAGACCGTTCTGTGGTTTTACAGAAGGACTCGAAACGAATTCCGACCACTCGTCCTCGTCCACTGTGTGCTTTTTGGCGGAAACCTGTGGCTTACCCGATACGAATTCGCCCCAAACATCGTCCTCTGCTGTTAAATTGTTAACGGTTGTTTTAATACTGTGACTAGGTGAGCTCTTGTTCGGGTTCACGCTCAAGTCTGTTTTTAAGGAATGTAACGTTTCGACAGGATTAAATCTTGACAGATCCTGCAAATCTATACCCGGGTTGGGCCAATTGATTTGCGAGAAGCTCTCTAAAGTTAGGGGTTGCAAAATTTGCCCAGTGCTTTGTTGAGCTATCGGAGGCGAAAAAACAGGAACAATCGATGTCGGTTGTAAGATATTACTGTGGATGGTAGGGTGCACCGCCATAAAATTATTCGAAACATCCTTTGTTTTAGATCCTGTTCCAAACACAGTTTCGCTGTCGTTTGCATTGTTTAATTCTGTTGAGTTGTACAATGAATACGTGTTTGAGTTATCGCTTTTAATTTTAGGAAAATCACATTCAAAGTTTACGTCTTGAACCATATTGTGGGCTGTATTTTTAATATTAATATCTTTACAATTCGTTAGACTCTTGACCGGGACTTGTGTTGGTAATGCTGATTGGAATGTATCGAAGTCGTCATCAGTATTACTAAAAGTTACTGATTCACTATTTAGTGTTAAATCTTCTTTTAAAGGTTTTTGGATAGAATCGTTTACTGACGAGTCAATTTTAATTTCTAATTGGTTTGAAGTTTGGTTACCACTCCATGAAGAGCTTGAAGCGAACTCTGCAAAATCATTAAATACTTCTTTCACCTCCCCAGGATCTGGCCAGTTTAGGGTGGGAAATATGGGTTCCATTTTAATCGGCTGTAATATTTGGGTCTGATATGTTACAGTCTGCGAAAGGGAACTCTCTGAAGCCATGTTAGGTGAATTTGAATTATTTTGTTGTATTGTTTGACTTCTTTCTGCTGTTGAATTGGTGGCACATGGAGTACTTTTAAAATCTTGAAATTCCCAGTACTCGTCGTCATCATCAGATTTGTGATTAGATGAACGTGATACAGAACACTCTGTAAACTTCTCTGGAATAGCTTCATGTTTATTTTCAGTCGTTTGAGGTATAAGAACTGTTGGCTGACTGTCGTAATGTATTGTTTTCGATCGAGGTATTTCTGAATCGGTCGGTGTAAATATATGTGTGTCCGGTAAACTTATCTGTCGTATTGGTTGCACATTAATAGTGCTTGAATATATCTTTTCAGCTTTTGTCGTTGCTATAGCGTCAAACACATGCAAGTCAGTAGGTCGATTTTCAGGAGTTGTTCTTACGTTTTCAGTCTTGCAAGCTGAAACATGTGAAAATACACAGTGATGAATTACACAATGATTCACACTAACACTGGATCTCATTATTTTTTTACAGTTCTAGCGTGCAACTTTAAACAGAAGTTGCGAAATGTCAATTCGTTGGGTTGAAACAGGAACATACTGGATATAAATAGGCTGTACGTGTATTTTGGCAAAGTACACTAGATTAGAAAAGGATAACCACAGTTTTTATACATAATTCACCTTGCGAAGAAATCTGTTAAGGGTCCACGATTTGCTGTACCATCTTTGCAGAAGATGTCAGCATCTTCGAAAAGGGCTAAGAAATATGTTGTCAAAATCTAAACAACAAAAGATGGCATATATACACACATCATCAAACCGAACATCATAAAGAAATGCTGGCTTAGGCAGAATATCTCACAGTTCACTTTGTGTTAAGTAATTACCCACCTGACCATCTAAGGTCGAAGTTTTGGTTGTCTGGGCAGTTAAAATGTTAGAGGTTTTGCGGAGGGAAAATATCATAGATTTTTACTTTATTTTATGGCGTAGTTAGTTGGATTAATAAAGCGAATTAATCTAAAGGATGCTCCTTTAATCTATCTGGTCCAAAAAATGGACTGACCAATATTAATTTATAAAAGAAATACATTTCAATACTCACTTCAGCTTTAACCGCTGACCGAATAGTTCTCTAAAAATACATGTATGTGATCCTAGCTTCTTCCGCCGCTGCCTACTAACTTACTCTAACTTACTCTAACTAACTAACTTACTCTATCGAGAACGTTAAAAAACTCGCACTAAGCACACAGATCATTTGATTACAAGGAGCGCCCGGTCGACTTTCAAGATGATAATAGATATTTGGAATTTCTATTAGAAAACTCGTATTTTTCTAAGGAGTTTTCTTCATTTCCCATGATAATGATATATTTGAAAATTAACAAATAGAGCCCTTAATGTTTATGAGCACTTAGCGAAATTTTATTCTCAACTGTTATTCTAATTCGACTGAACGACTAACGCCGAGCTCACTTCTCAAAAAATACAGGATTTTTTATTGTGATATCTACGGGTTTCGGTCATCACTTACCACTTAATGGATTTATAAGTTCGTTCACCCATCTACACAATATAAAAAAATTTTTTTTTATAAAATCCTGATAACTTTTTCGTCTAATATTTACTGTGTCTGAAATTACTAACTTTTTTGAAGCTTTAGGAGTAAGTATATGTGGGATTCAATATTTTTAGTTATGGTAGGCAAAGCATTTTCATTATTGTATTTTCCTAATACAATACCATTATTAATTTTTTCGATCTTTCGAGCATTTCCCTTTAAAACTTAAAATGACAATTGTAAATTTACTTACCATTTGACAGTAATTCGGATATCTTGAGATTTGAATGATTATGAGCCATTTGGTCTAGTGTGGCCATTAGGTGTTCTAAGTCAAGGAGGAGAGCCTCAGCATAAGTGACTATAGGAATTGAGGATAAGGTCCAAGCGGATAAATTACAATTTGGGTGATAGTTAGTAATCCATGTGCAAGACATGCAAAAGAATATTAGAATGTGATTTTTAGTAGAAGCATATTTGCATTTATCATATACTCAACTACCTAATTAGCCGTATTTGTATACTTAGCTAACACTTGTTAGCTTTTGTTCTGGCAACTTAATGTGCAAACTGTGAGCATAATATTTTGATACTATATCATAATTATTGTGCATTTTTACTAGTGAACTCCATTCAATGGAGTTCATTGGTAGTGGTGCAATCTTTTATGTACAATATTTTTTGGTAGAATTCCACCTTTTTCCTAATTGAAAATGTTTCTTTTTTTTTACACTAAGTAACAATTATTTATATTTCACGAGTTAATTATTTCAATGAACCCTTGAATAATTTGTTACTCACATCATTCTTATAGTTTATGTCATTATACATATTATGTACTTACACTGTTGTCCTTCAACCGGATCCACCCATGGAGTGCTTTTACTTGTAGACTTCTCATTGGGGACATCTTCATTGGGAGATAATACTGATGATGATGTAGACTTCTGCGGTTGTAGAGGAGCTGCTCCTAAGTTCGCTGCATATTTGGGCATACTGTGATTCCACTTGTGACCAAAAAGCTGCAATTTTTTTTGTTATTTGTCAATCTTATCTTATTCTCCTCAGAGGTCATTTGAGATTTAATTACGCAATGTCGAAAAATACTCTACAAGGGAAATAAATTCAGATTATTTACACAGACAAGTCTAACAAGAATTATATGGAGAAATTGCCAACTCCAATCAACAAAAATCCAAAATGTCTGTGTTATTTAAACAATCCATGTCCAAGATTCAATTATAAATTGCATTGGTATTATGATAGTGTTACTCTTTTAAACGTGAATAAAAAGTTGTTTAGGCAGGTTATAGAAGCAGGCAGGACAGTACTACTGACTGATGTAGTTCGGAAATAATAGTATGTTATTGAGACCAGGGGCACATACCCTTATCTTCCAAATATTAGCTAAACAAGGTCCTTTGACTTAATAATTGTAATTGTAATGGTAATTGGCTCAAACCAAAGCAGTTAGCAATTAGCTTAATACAAGCATTTCAAAGACTCGAGTGAGGTGAAAGCAGTGTCTGATTTGACCAATGTGTGTGTGTGAATCAATCACTATAATAAGTAGACATTAAAAGTACAAAAAGCTTGAAACTGGGTTCATAAAACATTTTTAGTTTTGAAAGTATGAACAAAATATTTAAATAATTTTGAAATACATATATTTCAATATAATTAGTTATATTAGATTAGATATAGTTATACTATATATACTTAAAAAGAGCCAATTGTGTAAAACATGAAATATATGATTATTTACTTTACTCACAATATTTCTGGAATCAATGCATAATGCCCTTAATAGGGTTTTTTGACCAAAAGAATGATTCCAATTCACTATGTAAGGCTGTCTAACATCAGTTTCTGTTAAATGCCCCCATGTTTCACCCAGCACAGATTCTATAGAAATATTTATTTCATTTTGAGGTTTTACTATTTCATCTTCAAATATACATTGTAATACTTTATTTATATTCTCTATAACTGGAACACTACTGTCACTTGAATGCAAATTAAATACAGCTGTGCCTGGATCATCTAGATGTGAGGCTAATGTATTTCCATCATGAGAGACTGATGACTTGAAATCATCGAAATCACCAAAATCATCATCATCATCTTCACTATTTGAATTTGAGTCTTTAAGGGCACTGTCACTGATATTTTCAACAATATCTCTACTTTCTGATGCCGTGCAGCTTTCATTTGATTTTAGTGTTTGACTATCATTATTTGGGTTCACTATAAAATCTCCAAACTCTGAATTGCTATCATCACAATTCGAGGATGTATTTTGTAATTGACTTTGATTGTCATCAAAATTTGCTGTAAAATTACCAAAATCTGAGTTGACTTCCTCACTTTCCCAAGGATTGGTATAGTTCTCAATAAAGACAGATGTACTGTCAGTTTGTTTTGAATTGAAATCATCAAATTCACCAAAATCATCATTTGGATCATTTTCTAATTTAGTGTTATTTAATCCATGTTGAAGGTCAATGACAGAATTATCATCAATTTCTGTTTCAATTGGAGCATTCTGTAGTGTGTCTCTAATAATTTCATCTTCTACCATTTCAACTTGTTGATCTGTGGTTTCCTTTTCTTCTTCAACAGGTATGAAATGAAAATTTTCCCCTGTACTAATACCCTCTTCATGTAATTTTTTTATAAATTCATTTTTCACATTTGTGTTTGCTGAATTATCTACAACATTACCTTCAACAGGATCCTTAGCTGAATCATTCACTGAATCTTTAGCTGAATCATTCAGTTCACTGAGTGATCCCACATCATCTATTTGTAAATTCAAATCTTCTATGTTAGTATCTTCTTCATATTTTATTTTATTTTGTATAGTGGGGTTTGAATCTATTACTATATCAGATTGCTTTGTGTTTTCATCCTCCAAAACGGAATTGCCTTGCAAGTCATTATGTTTTAATGATGAGATTTCGACACTATATGATGAATAGTGTCCATAGTAATCACTACATTCTTCATCATCCTGAGATACTAAAATATTTAAAAAAATTATTTCACATTTTTAATGTTCATCGGTTTTGGTATAAAACAAGTCCTAGATCATGCATAATTGGTTGATCTAGGTCCTGTATAATTGATTGTTATTAAATATATGGAACGAGTTCAAAATAATAGTAATAAATAGAATACAAATGAATGTAACTAGTTAAGGTTTAGTTATGTGTTTACAAAATTGATACAGGTAATATGACTTATTCAATTTCATAGACTTACGATTATATTGAACGTCGAATTCTTCAAGATCTTTTTCATCTTCGCATTGTTCAGGAGGAGGTGGTGTACTGCAGACAAGTGGAGGAATCGACATCTTAAGCAATACAAAAGGTCACGAATGTTTTACGTCGTTACTCATAAATGTATCTCATACTATATTCATCACCTATCTCATAAATGACTACATAACACTGTTTGATTATTAAAAGTATTTTTTCATGTAGATATTAAGGACAGCTGTTTTATAAATTGACAAAATTTTGCTACGAAACGAAATATTGCAAATGACAATGAATATGGACAGACGACATTAATGACAATAAAACTGACAAGTGACAACTGTTGTCAACAGTAATTGTACTATATTACCAGAATATGAAAGGCGAATACAATGGGGTTGGCANATTCTTTAATGTGTTTAAATGTGTTTGTCCAAACGCTTGTATGTGTTATATGAAACTGAATAGAGTGGTATAAAGTGTAGTTTATTGAACCAAAAATGGATTATTGAAAAATAATAAAGGAAATCAATTTATGTTTCAGTAAAACGGTGAGAATTTACTGAGATTTTTTGAAATTTAAGAAACCATTAAGAAACTACGTTACGCTACGTACCTACGTGCCTGCAGCAATAAACAAAGAGTTTTGTCAGCTTCCAAAAAATCTTATACTTGTAAATCTTGTATCTTTAAGTACATAAATAAATAAAAATATAAATTATAAATATTGAGGAACCAATCACATCCTGTAATCTAGCCCTAAACTAAGATTCTATAAATATGGAAACCGGTGATTGATCGACACACCTATTAAATACAGGCATTTAATAAGTGTGTAGGTAGGTAGGCCTATGTTTTAATATTTAAATATACATAATATTGAGGATCGTGACTCCGTCCGATTTCGTCAACGAACCGTCTCCATCGACGGAGTCACGATCCTCAGCAGTGAGGAACCGATCGAAGAGAGAGAGAGTACATAATATATTCACTCAACATCCAAACAGAGCCCAAAATATAACCAATTTATCTAAAATCTACTGTATTTTTAACATAGAAACACAGTAACAGCATTTTTAAAGCTATGGGCACTGGCTAATTTATGTGTATTATCTATGACACTGCCTGTAGTCTATGTTCGTACCAAGAAAGTGAAGTAAGCCGGTTTACAACTTTGCAGAAATAAGTGAACCGGATTTAGCGGATACGGGAAGCCCGAACGCTCATTTCGTTTTTATCTTCAAGTTTTTGTCAAAAACCCACTAGCCTTCTATTTGATCTATGAATCAGGTGTATTAAACTAATTATAAGAATAATCTAGTGAAATTATCTCATTAGAAACTAAGTAAGTAAATGAAATCAATTTATTTCGTCCAATATTGTAAGTACGCTAAATCAATGTCTTTGTAGACAAGGAAATATGAACGTGCTTAGAGACCTTTGTTTTTTACAATACATTTCAATCCACAAATTCAATAAACTACCGTTCTTTGTCCAAAAATGTAAAACTTCCCGAAACTTACATTGCAAGAGAAATTGCTGTCAATAACCTTTGACATGTGTCACTGCTTACGTGTCAGCGGTACTTCTCTTGCACCTAAGGTATACAGTTTTAGACACTTTATTAATAAAATTTCTTATAAGGTCCTCTCATCAATCCATAATTTTAACTTCATTACAAATTAATATTTGTATTGTAAGTATGTTTGCAAACAATAGGCTTACATTGCCCATTTTCGTTATCATCTTGCTAATCAGTCAGTTCAAACCTAGATTTATGTCTTTTGAAAGTAACTAGTATTAGTAACTAGTATGCTTCATCGAACTTCAAAGTAGAAAACATTCAACTTGATGCCTTTAATGTCTAGGTATTTATTCTACAAAATTCTAAAGTGAATATCACTTTAGAAGTTTTCTTGCACTAAAAAGAAGATACTGGTTGGTATCACATAGGTACATGTAATATAATAATATACTATCATAGGAAAATTGAAAATAATAATTTATTAAGCTTATGAAGATAGCACGAGTTTAATCAATTACTTGACGAATTTGATTGATGTGATTATTGCTTAGAGAAATTTCTTCTAAGCAATCACTTATAAAAATGAATTGTTTGGTAATTTGGGAAAGTGAGTTCTGATAATAAACAACTACATAAAATAATGGTTAGAAATTTTGTGTTAATAATAGGTTATACAAAATGATATTTTTGTAACCTATTGGTAGGGCAGTGATATTTGTTAAGAGCAAGATAAGACTACTTAGAGTCCTTATTGTTGTTGTAGAGTTGAATGAAACGTGTAATTCTAAGTATGATCTACACATTTAGGCTTGTAGCAGATCCAAATGGAGCTGCAAGCATTACTGGTTCTGGGAGGATTGGGGGTGGCTGGCATAGCAGTTCTCCTATTGATGGGACTGTTCTCAGCCTCAGGCACTAGCTATGAAGAGGCTATTGCACAACAACGTAAAGCAGCTACTGAGTTGTTGGCATTAGCAGAAAACAAAAGCAAGTCGAAGAAAAATGTGAAGAAGAAGGATAAGAAGGTAAATTTTATTTCAAATTCCAAATATGGACTAATATGTTATTGGTTACTTGGAATGCCTTTCACAGATTCATAAACATCCTGTAATTGTTATCTGCAAATAAATTGAAATGAAAGAGTAATTTAACGCTGGCATGGCAAATTCTATGCCTGTGTAGAAAAAATTATCATTCTGTATATCTCTACAATATAATTAAAATTTCAGCCTCATTTTTCATTATATTTAACACGCATTTTTCATGGATATATGTGTTGTATTTTGTGATGTTTGTGGTCTCAAGTAACAACTAAACTCTGGGTTGATTTAGACCTGTTGGTCTATCCTTCAAAAGAAATACTAGACTTTGCAACATAAATACCATACCTAACTTGGGATGAGATTGAAACTGTATTTGTGCTATAATCTTCTTCTGAGTCGGTCTCTTCATTGCTGAAGGTCGTGTCTAGTCTGAAGTGTGGGCCACTGTGCTATAATACAAACAATAATCATTTTGCAATTGAAATTGTTACAGTGCGGTATTTAGTCTTATATACTAGTGTAAGTTCAGAGAATAATTTGATCTGTAAACGCAGTAAAATGTCCCTTCGGAACAAGGTGACACTTTACAAAATTTGCATAAGGCTCGTCATAACTTACGCGAGTGTGGTGTTCGCTCACGCGGCCCGCACACTCATAGACTCCCTACAATCCCACTTTTGCAGGTTAGCCGTCGGGGCTCTGTGGTCGTGAGGAACGTTGACTTACATGACGACCAGGGCCAATCAATCCAAAAATACATGAAGTCAGCGTCGGAACGGTACTTCGATAAGGCTATGCGTCATGATCGCCGTATCGTTGCCGCCGCTGACTACTCCCCGAATCCTGATCATGCAGGAGCCGTCAAGATCACCGTCGACGCCCTAGACACGACCTTATGGATCCATCAGATCCAATAACCTTTGAATTAGATGCCTTCAGCTCTAACACTACGAGCAGGCTTAGGAACCCCGGTAACCGTACTCGTCGACAAAGAGGTCGACGTGCAACCTAACCCATGTATCAGCCCGCTGAGTTTCTCGCCGGATCTTCTCAGCGGGTCGCGATTCCGATCCGGTAGTAGATTAATTCGCGAAGCAATTGCTCTTGAGTTGTTAGGTCTCCTTCGGAGGCGCTCAGGCAGTTGTTAGCAAATTCCACCCCTCCTGACTGAGCCTTTGCTCGCCCACCTGTCCTGGTGAAACTGGAAAGGCCTCCAGGCCATCAGTAATCTTTCAATCATAAAAAAAAAGAATAATCTGCCACCAATTATAGTATTTATAAATTTATATTGAAATGTTCAGCTCTAATTAATTTTTTATTTTAAATTTGGTTCAAATATAGCTGGCCAAGAAAGAGAAGAGCAAGGAGAACTCTGGTACAACAGGCAGTGAAATCGACAGTGAGGCCCCAGCTGAGAGTGGTCTAGAAGATGACCCCACTCCACCAACTAAGGGACATGTCGAATTCTCCCCACCTGTTGTTGTTGATGTACCCAGGGATGCACCCCCTAATGTTAAGGTTTGTAGAAACTCTTTTAGTAATTACATTTTCATGCAAATACTAACACCAATTTAGTGCAAATCTAGTAACACACTAGGCCATTTTCATGATTTTATAAAAGAGGAGTATGGTTATGGGGCAAATTATATTAGAAAACATCCTAACATGTTAGTGTATGTAAAACTAAAACTGGAAAAATTATTCACATCATGGTAGATAGAGATTTAGGTGCTTTACAAAAGCCAGTGACCTAAAGGATTACAAGATACATAGTGTATATGTATTGAGTAAGGTAACTATACTGCCTATTTCGGCCGCCAAGCTATCGTGTGTTTCGGTTTGAAAGCCAGGTCTTATTCAATACAATTGAGATTTGTGATACGTGGCTTTCAATACCTCTCATATCTATCGAGACCAGTGTGCTTAGTGTGAGTTTTTTAACGTCTTGATCGCGTAAAAGCTAACTTAAATTTTTATGGACTTGGAGCAGCGCCCCTAGAGGCAAAAATTCGCTGTTTCAAGTCCATTCAATAAGCACACAGAAAGACATAGGTCATAATATGCCCATGTACCGCAATAGAAAAAAGACTAAATGAAATGACGCATTGTCTAATACGTGTCGGCGATAATTTTGGGATCGAATTCTTGAAATAATCAATATTTATCATATCTTTCAAAACGATACTCGAAGTTATTTCGCGACAGTTTCGATGAGGGCCACGCAACCAAGCTGAGCAGGTTCACGACACGCCGTGGCTTACTAAAGATAAGACTTAAGTAGAGGTAGTTAGTGCCTTGGTGATTAGTAAGGCATATTGTCAGTCTGTAGGAGTGGGTACTACTATCTTTCCTATCTGCTACATAGAATTCTTGCGTTCCCGTCTGAAAGCATAAATTAGTTATACTACTGTAATACTGTTCAGAGTGCCACCTCGAGGTGAGTCCATAGATATTCCGACATGTCAATAGGTCCCGATAACCACTAAACAGCAAATCGACAGATNCTTGGTGATTAGTAAGGCATATTGTCAGTCTGTAGGAGTGGGTACTACTATCTTTCCTATCTGCTACATAGAATTCTTGCGTTCCCGTCTGAAAGCATAAATTAGTTATACTACTGTAATACTGTTCAGAGTGCCACCTCGAGGTGAGTCCATAGATATTCCGACATGTCAATAGGTCCCGATAACCACTAAACAGCAAGTCGACAGATTTAATTTGATAAGATAGAAATATCATTACTATAGGTGGCTTTTGTAGCAGGAACATATCAGTAACTTTAAGCAGACATGCCTGTTGACAAGTATCTTCTAATTAATAGCCAGAAAGAAGGTCATATATAATCCTCCGATCTTTTGAGTTCCATATTATAACAATGCTTAAATAATTGAAATTATGTATGTATTGAAAAAAGCACGGGGCATAATTTGGTTTAGAATGAAACTAACACACAAATGGCCAATGTGATTCATACACTAGTGTAGTCATCGGTAGTAAGTACCATATAAAGATTATTAACACATCGTGGGTGTTTGGTAAATTTAGATAAGAAAGGTTTATGGTAGCACAAAAGATATTAAAACGACGTATAATGTTTGGCACTACTGTGCAGATACGCAAACGTGGCAAGGATCCTAAGGTAAAGCCGATTCTGTTGAACAAAGAGGATCCGAGTTGCGTTAGTGATCCGAGCACGGTCCCAGTGGCCGCCAATACCACTGTCGCTAACCATTTTGAGGAAATGCATCCAAAAGATGAAATTGAATTGATGCAATCGGCCCTATCAACTGAAAAAGTGAGTTCTTATCGTCTAAAGAATTTGCGTTCCAATGTCGCTGTTTGTTTTAACTGGTTTTAGATATATTATTGTTATGTAAAAACGCTTGATAAATGTTATAGCTAACAAGGTTTGTACCTATATAGTCATTGTTTTATTGTTCATTGTTCTTATCATTACACAGTTATGTTTGGCTTTAATAGTTTTAATTTGCCTATGTAAATTTATTTGTAGTCGGAATGTGTTTTATAACTTGCATGCTATGGTAAAATTATGTAACATCATTGCAGTGGTAATGTTTATTGTAATTTGAAGTTACTTTAAATTTTAATACATATTAATAATTATTGATTCGTCAAATATTATCTTTGATTAAAGTAAAATTAAAAGAATGTATAATAAATAATTTTACATAAAACTAATTTAGAATATAGGGTACTTGACTGTTTAAGAGAAATTATTACAAATTGCTTAATCATTAGAGCATCTTTATAACTTATTCATATTCGGTATTTACAAAATTCATAAATACTAAAACTCTAAGAAATAAAACCAGCGCTAAAATGTTTCCTTTGGGTCACATTACGTAATTAATTATGTATTTACGCTGTACAGTTTTCAACATGAACTTCGTCAGTAATCCGTCGTCACTAAGTTATGATGTCACTTTTTACCGTCACAGCGTACTAAATCGTTTTTTTTTTTAAATAAAACTACTTTATTTTGTTTTACTCTGTCTCGTAACGAATCACATTTTTGAGCAGTCAAGCACCTTGTAAAAATAAAGTGCACGCATTTTAAAAATACAATAACATTAAAAACCTTTTTTCGTATAATATGAATTGACTAAAACGCTCCGATTGAATTTAATAAAGTTTAGTTGTAAGCCTGTCCACCTTGTCTAAAGCTAGCTAAACTTTTGTTGTAGGTCGTCGAAAAAGTTGAGGAACCTGTTGACAAGAAGGAAGCAAAGCCTACAAAACCTCAAAAAACTGGCAAAGGTGCTCCTAAAGCAACTTCATCCCCTGAGCTTAAAGAAGAAACAAAAGAAAAAAACAACACTGGGGACGCACCCAAGGAGCAACGTAAAGGTTTGTGTCACATGCCACATTGTCTTTGTGTCATTATACATACTAGTGGTCCCGCAGTAGTCGAAATTCGACTATAATTAATTAAAATTGTAAGTTTGTACACTATTATGATTGTATTTTCAAAGACTATTATACTTCTATAATCACAAATTTCGCCAAGACTACACTATAGAAAAATATTAATTAATTAAGACAAACAATATTTAAACTATTCTCAATTTGACCACAGGCGTCAAGAACAAAAGTTTGACAATAATGAAATAGTATGCATGCGAGTGTGCGTCAAATACATGGTAGTGTGTGTAATGTTTTTTTATTGATTTAATTTATTTTTTATGCATAATTTTAAAAAATATAAACATTCTGCACTCCTTCTCTGTATTCTCTATAAGTGTGGGAAATTTCATACTCCTGCGTCCGCGCAATTTTCGTAAAAAGGGATACAAAGTTTTTGCTTCACGTATTAATAATATATAGATATGTTATATAAACAAGATTTGATGGAATTTATATTTCCAATTATTTATGCATTTTTGTTATATCTTTGATGTCCTTCATAAAATTAATTGCAGTCGTGTGATGCTCACATTAAAAAAAACTATATATCGTTTTTAAAGCCACTCGTATGATATATGTATTTAACTTTCTAAACAATTTTGAATATAATAACCATTACACTTTAATGTTTTATGTAATTCACATTTTTACATCGTTGTATTGGTAGACAATCGTAATCGTTAACTATACCGGAAACGATATCTGTAATCATTAACAAATCGGTAGCTTTAAGGCTCTGTCTACTTGTTTAAATAACCAGTTAACGGAGATTGATGGGTATACTTCATTATGGAGAAATACTAGGATTTTGTTCTAGAACCTTAAATGACCTGAATACTTAAAAATTATATTAAAAACCACTGGCTATTTGAAAAGTAATTTTGATAGTAACGAAACATTCAACGGTAGACAGCGGCTTGATTTTGCCTCAACCATTGCTGACGTCCATGAGCTAACCACTCTCCATCAGATGGGCCGTATGTCCGTCCGTCTACACGGACAATAAATAAAAAATATATTCTCAAATTTCAAGCTGTTTAGAATATTCTGAGGTGAGGCCGGAATAAAACCAAATAAAATAAAATATGAAATAATTTTAAATAAGAGCATGCGTCGCCGCATTCACCGGCTGAAACCTATTTTCGTGACACGCAGGTGCGCACTTTCAAAACGGAACGACACAGATAACTAGATAAAGATCTTAAAGTAGGTCTAGAAAATATAGCTTTATAGTAAAAAATGTAATTACCCCAGTATTAAAGTGCGATTTCACTTAAGTAAGAGTAAAATAAAGTGAATCCAAATTGTATTATAATATTACTCGTATCTTTAAAATTACTGAAAATATATTTTTTACCAAAAATATTATAATTTATCTATTACCAACTTGGAAGGATTGAATCGGATATATTAGGTCGAAGGCAACTTAGCAATTGAAGGCATAAGCTATTCATAGTTTTTTTTTGTTTTCCAAAAATAATAAAAAAATATTTAAATGTACCATCAATCAACAAACCTAAGTATTGAAATCTATTCTCTTATATTCCGGAAAACTTACGAGTATTTTTTTAATTAGGTAAAAAAGAGAAGAAGCCTCATGATGAAGCAGCGGAAGTAGCACAACAGGAGATTGTTCCACCATTGAACATACCACAGCCGACCGAGCTGACCACCGAAAAACTTCTGAAACAAGCATTAGTTGTCGCACCTCCTGCGCCGTCGCCTCCAGCTAGCAAGGGGAAGAAGAAAAAACAAGAACCTAATGTCCTCACGCTCATGGGTAAGCAATAGACATGTACTGTGTAAAATGTACTGGAAATTCTAAAATACCTTTCAAAAATTGCAAATACCAAATGCAAACAAAATCTATGATATGTGTATATTACAAGTCAGAAAACTTTAGGGCTATAAGCTCATGACGTCAATGCTGGCTTTTATCGTTTTTTTTATTTATTGCTTAGATGTGTGGACGAGCTCACAGCCCACCTGGTGTTAAGTGGAGGTCCTACCACCAGTAATTACGCAAATTAAAATTTTGCGGGTTTGATTTTTATTACCCGATGTTATTCCTTCACCGTGGAAGTCAATCGTGAACGTGAACACTTGTTAAGTACGTATTTCATTAGAAACAATGGTACCCGCCTGCGGGATTCGAACACCGTTGCATCGCTCGATACGAATGCACCGGACGTCTTATCATTTAGGCCACGACGACTTCAGACGTACATGTTTCCAACACCCACATTGTATGATACATTGTTTAATTTCTTATGATAGTTGGCGACCACGGTGGCGTAAACGTTGGCGAGCTGGTGCGCGTTGTCCGCGAGGCTTCGCTCTCTCGTACAGAGATACAGATCCTGACCGACGCATTGCTCGACAAACACCATGATCCTCTACCCGAACATTCCGAATGGTCCGAGGTACCTGTGACCTTAAATTGTAACACTTGCAAGACCATATGTGTCAAGAATGTTTGCTCCAACTTCAGTTTCCTTTGATATGTTTGATATTTCAATATTATTTATATGTCTGATAATTACAATGTAACATTATTATAATATTGCAGCGTTAACTCCTTGTCAACCTCAGTTGAGTGGTTTTAGCTTTAATTGTCACGTAATATGTTTATTACAAAGATATCAATAGGAAAATATTTTTGTCCTTTAAATAAGCGGACTTAACTGAGTCGATAATTATCTGATCATTTCAAACTGAAATGCATTTTGAATTTATACCACATAACTAATGAGAACTGTGAAACTTGCCTATTCATAAAACTCCTGTTAAATTTAATAATAAAAAAAGGGTATAAATTTCTTAATTTAATGATAAATTAATTTTATCAATAAATCTATGTGAAATCAATGCACTTAATTGAATGTTTGAAAACAATCTTATCAAATTATTTGAAGTTCAGCCAATTTTATCCATTCATTCTGTTATCGCGCTTAACTGATTAATTTTGTGAGATAATAATCTTCCCACCAATATGCCATGGACGACTAAATAATTATTTTGATAACTTTAGTAGGAAACCGATCTGCCCACGTCACTGTTATCATTTTAGGATTTCCGGAGATTATAATCATATTTACATATTATAATACTCAACTACCAGATAGAACATTTTATGCGTAAAAATAAAACAAATACAAACAATATTTGTTGATAAGTGGTATATAAGTTACTGTGATTTCTAAATTTGGAAATTATATTTTATATTATATATAATGTGGACTATTGAATGGAAAAAATATATTATGTTAGTTAACTGTAAGATTAGTAATTGATAAAGTTTATAATCCCTAGGGCCCAAATGATCCAGTTCAGAAATTGAAGAAGCAGTTAGCCGACAAAGAAAAGGCGCTGGCCGATGAAGTTGAAGCTTCCCAAGCTTTGCAAGCCAAATTGAAGGAATTACGGTGGGTAGTTCACGTTTACCGCTTTTGAAATCTTCATGAACAAATTTTAACCTACCATTTAGTGTTCATGATAATTGTTTACAAAGGTAGTTTTCCAATTACAGCACAAGAGCGCATTATGCGGCATAATGCTCAACTAAGCTTCAGCATAATTCGGCATTGTGCGTCACTGAGTCGCATTATGCTCTGTAATTGGAATGAAAAAGATCAATCTGTAAATTACAGTATCTATGTAATATTTTGACCTTGAAAACTATGAGTATAAGCAATATTGTATGGAACAATTTCTCGTACGCATATCAATATCAAGTGACTTTTGTATTATTTGGAAATATTTTTTTTATTGGCCTTGTAGGCAGACAAGCATACGGCCCACCTGGTGGTGAGTGATGGTGAGTGGTTACCGTCGCCCATGTACTTCAGCAATGCCAGGGGCAGAGTCAAGTCGCTGCCTACCGAAAATACAATATTGATTAACGTTGTTTCGTAACCATACAGAACGAGCCTGAACGCAGAGCGCAGCCGGGCGAGCGGCGCCGTACGCACGCTGGAGGCGGAGCGCGCCCGCCACGAGCAGGCCGCGGCCGCCGCGCGCGTCGACCTGCACACGCACCAGGCGCGCCTGCAGCGGCTGCTCGACGACAACCACCAGCTCGCACAGGAGAAGCTTCACGTATGTACTTAGTAGAAAGCAATGCTGCACAAACGACTCGCAACATTAATGACGTGGGTAGTGAATGCTACAAATGATGCCATTTCGAAAAAGCGGCACGACATGAGAACCCTCATCGTAGCCGTCGGTAATTATGGTAAACAGTCGACGTCACCCAAAACACGTCATTACGGATCCTCCCGATCCACTAACGGTGCTTTTAGGAACCCCAAGCACCGGTCATCGTTCTCGTCGAACCCGTCTCGCTCGCGACGAAGGGTTCAGCGAGTAAATTAACCCACAGACAAAGCCCACTGAGTTTCTTGTCGGATCTTCTCGGTGGGTCGCGTTTCCGATCCGATGGTAGATTCTGCGAAGCACGGCTCTTGCCCCGTGAGCTCACCTACTCGCCCGGTTACGCTGATATGATAAAAATCAAACCCTTAAAAATTATAATTTACGTAATTACTGATTATGGTAGGGCGTCTTATGAGCGCGTAAATGTTAGGTGCTACCACATTACCTATTTCTGCTGCGAAGTACTTAATGCGTTTCGGTTTGAAGTGAGGGACAATCGTTTTACTACAAAACTTACGACTCAGAAATCATGTCTAAAGATGGGTGGCGGCTTTTACGTTGTTAATGCATAAGGGATTCGGTAATCACTTAACATCAGATGGACCGTGAGCTCAGGCACTAATATCAGAAAAAAATACAAAAAAGAAATGAACATCATCATCAATTAAAAAAATACCGACCTTACATTTCAAGATGAGTGACATCAACTTGGCTGTGATTTGTACATCGAAGTCATGTAAATTAACTAAGCTAATTTGGTATCGGTAATAGCTAAAATTATTTATTGCCTACAGTTGCAATCGCAATTGAATGCAGAAGCGGAAGTTCAAGCTCAACGAGTCCAGATGGAGGTGCACATTAAGCGATTAACAGAGGTAAGAAAATAGTAATACAATATATTTTTACGCGGTTCCCTTACGTGCTTGTTCATTCATTCTACTGTATATAAAATATTGCAGAAGAAGAAATTGATATGCGGACCTACTCGTCAATCCCTTGTATTATATTTCTCCTATTTTTAGTACGAATCTTATCTCTTGGGCCTGTTGTATGCAAAATGTTTGATTTTAATAAGTTATAATTCCTTTTCGAAAAAGTTTTGAATTACTGTCGTATTGCGCTTAAAGAAGTATTACTTCAAAAATGATTTATCTATCATACACTTGCGAGCATCTTTAGAGGAAGAGGTAGACCTAAGAAGAAATGGATGGATTGCGTGAAAGACTATATGTGTAAGAAGGGAATGAGCGAAGAAATGGTATATGATAGAGGAGTATGGAAGGAGAAAACATGTTACGCCAACCCTAGGTGACTGGGAGAAGGGCCGGAGAATGATGATGACACTTGCCAGTATCTAAACGAAGTGAAATCAGGCATACATTTTGTGTAAGTGAACTAAGTGTACATCGGCGCGTTGACTTGTTTCAGTCGGAGGCGGCGCTGGTGCAGCAGCTGGCGGGGCTGCAGAGCGAGGCGGCCGCGCACGCGCACGACGCCCGCCAGACGCGCCTCGAGCTGGGCGCCGCCCGCGACGCGCTGCTCATGGCGCAGCAGCACGCCGCCGAACTGGCGCAACAACTGCAGGTACACCTTACATCTATTTACCTGAACGATCAGGTCATGCACAAACAAGCTGATACTGTACTCAAAGTAATTTAAAAATATATATCGACGCTTGAAAGGCAAACGTGACTAAGCGACAATGCGTGAACTTTACAGTAGACTAATTTAAAGTTGAAATACCTGAAAAAAAATCTATTTTAACGAATCTAGCTGTAGGATTGAAATGATTTTAATAGACCTAGAAATATATTTTTTTGAAGTTATACTTCATTAGGCGCGTTATGAAAAATTGATGAGAGTGAAATTGTACGATGCGCGCGCACCGTGACACAAAATTAACAGAAATGAAGTTGCCCACTAAATCGCTCATTACAATACGACCGACGTAACTTGGCGAGTCTGAATATAGCCGCAGGTGACCTTTCGCGCATGTACACTCGTAAAAAAAAGTGTTATTAGCATTCATTTTTTAATAATATAAATGACAAAATTATTATTTAATATAATTCATACTAAATATTATTAAATTATTAACGTTAAATATTTATTATTAATTATTTAATATTTAAAAAAAAAGAAATAAATTTAATAAAAATAAAGTATAACTTCTTACGCGCGTAAATAAGTACACGCACCGTTTTTTTGCGCATCGAATATGGTTATTACCTATCATTTATGTACAAAGCCGTTATTATCGCTTAGTCACGTTTGCCTTTCAAGTGTCGATCTATATAAAAATGAATTGCTGTTCGTTAGTCTCGCTAAAAAACTCGAGAACGGCTGGACCGATTAGGCTAATTTTAGTCGTGAATATTATTCGTGGAAGTCCAGAGAAGGTTTAAAACGTAGATAAATATGAAAATGCTCGGAATTCAATAAAAATAACAATTTTGTTTTTCTTTTGATGTGTCCCCCCTTGGACAGATTACTTTTGTTTATTTTATACAAAAGCTTAGGTCTTTTATATCTATTGAGGCACTACGAAGTCTGCCGAGTCAAAGTTTTCAGTGTTAGCTCTGTTATTGTTTTTCATTTGATTATACTAACATTAAAGTTTATTATGTAATAAACAGGATGCAAACCGTGCATACACCGAACTAGAGCAGCACTCGCAACAAGAAAGAAGGCAATTACAGGAACGACTCGCTGGTAATTACTTATTTAATTTCTCTAATCATACCTACTGTACATATCGTGTGGTTCTATCGACGTCCGATGCTATAAATTTTACGAATTCGAAAAGATTTAAAAACTTGAATTCTCTAACGTTTGCCAAAAACTAATATTGCAATATAAAGATAAAGTAGTGAATTGTAATTCTACAACTACAAGTATTGAATTTTATAAATGTTCGTCGGCGATATCAACAAATATACAAACTAAATTAATTAATTACAATTGTATTTTTGTTATGCTGCTTACTGATAAATGATGAGAATAACGAATATTGTAGTTAACAGTACCTATACATTTCAAAAGTTCCGATTCAATTTACACATTTTTCTTTAGTATTTTGTTGTAGACTTAAAAAAGTCTTTGTCGATAACACTAAAGACCATACAAGCTATTAATCACACAAAAATCGGTTGATAAACAAAGAGGAAAATTGTACTTAACTGTTTTGTCTTTGCCTATTTATATATAATGTATGTGTTAAAATAATGGCAAGGATTAATATGACAAGATTACCCATGCGGTGAGCCAAATAAAATCTCAAAGGTCTACCTACCATCAAAGATGGCTGAATTCTTGTTTATATAAATATAATATATTTATATAAATTTCATTAGACACCTTTATGAATAAACGAGGATATAATATCTAATCGATACAAAATATATATAGCGTTATTTGAGGTTTAATGAATTTGTTTACCTTATAGAGCTTCAAAATGAAGTCCAGAGATTGGCGAATCATGCTCAAACAGTCGAAGCGAACACAGAGAAACTAAAACAAGAAAGTGAAAAACAAAAACAACAGGTAATAAATATTATGATAACTTTTTAAATCTCCTTACATATTATATATACTTTTGTTTTAACTGTATGTAACAACACAGAATGACTGTGAAGGAAGTTTGACTTCGATATCTGTTTAATCTCTGTGTATGTTACAGTCAGCAATGATTTCAATTAAACAAATAAAACAAGGACCAATATATTTTTAGTCTTCTTTTCATTATGGAAACTTTTTTCTATATTTAAACATGAAAGGTACATTCGTGTGTTTATTTCAAGCTCATTACGTTTCAGCTATCCAATGAGATCAAAATAATAGGGGAGCAGCTGTCCGCACGCGAGGCCGAGCTCGCTGAGCTCAAACAGATAAAGGCGGTGCCCGCACAGAACGGCTTGACGGCGGATGACAATGAACAAAAGGTATTTACTCTCACTAAGTTTATACCTGTCATGAAGCGTGCTGTGGTTTTTTTGCAGTCAAATAATACCACCAATTACAATTTTTATTTTACAAGTTGTACCTGTCCGCTTCGCGAGGCATTTAAAATTAACATTATTATTTCTAACCCCCACAAAGATTCTCATCATTAACGCCCCCTCAACTGGTGTAGGGAGTCCAACACTCATATAAATATTAGCCTATCCATTCAGTACATGTATTTTTTACATGGATACCAAGTTTCAATTCAATTGGATGAATGATTCAGTAGTTATAACGGAACATCCGTAAAAACCACTGTAGATTTATATATTAGTATAGATTATTTAATACTTATATACTATAGATGGATAAATGAGTCCACAGCCCACTTGATGTTAGGTGATTACCGAAGCCCATAGATATCTCAGTATAATAAATATAGTATATAATAATAAATATAGTATTAAATTTAATTATAAACGAATGTATTTTAGATAAGCAAATCGGAGTTCGCGAAGGTGGAGAGCGTGGTGGCGGCGCTGCGCAGCGAGCTGGAGTCGGCGCAGGGCAGCAGCCGCGAGCAGCGCGACCAGCTCGAGCGGCTGCGCGACGAGCTGCACCGCCACAAGCACAAGAACGACGTTAGTTGCATTCACTTGCTTCGACACGCTCACCGGATACCAGTGTGCTTAGTGCGACTATCTTAACGTTCTCGATAGCGTAAAAGTTAAGCCATTTTTGTATGCAGTTGGAACAGCGCCCCTAGTGGCAAACGTACGCAATATGAGCTAACTTTTACGCTATCGAGAACGTTAAAAAACTCGCACTACAACACACACAACTAAAATGTTTCAAATTAACTGACAGTTCGATAATTGAGAGTATCTACCGGAAGAAAGAGGAGATCGACTAGTTGACAATCTTAATTATCCAGGGCTCAGCTTAAAGTATACAGTGAATCGTCGATAAACGTTATTGTATGTATTCATTAACCACACCGATTTAACTCGTTCCGATTAGGAGTTGCGAACTAAAAACTGGAAAGTAATGGAGGCGTTACAGTCTGCCGAAAAGGCTCTCCAGTCGAGAACGGCAAGCGCGTTGCCGGCCCAAGACTCGTTGCGTGTAAGTGCTCCCCCACTTGTACACAGCTTTGTTCTTCTTTAGTTTTTGACTCCGGTACGGTTTGTGCATTAGCCAGCGTCAAGTAATATTTTTATAATTCGCCGTTTTAATTATTTACCGTTTGTAAATAATAAAAAACGAAGGAAACTTAATCAATTGGCATGAAAAGAAATGAAATGAAATGAGATGATATGGGATGAAATATAATCTCATTAAAATGGTGATTATTTACTGTGACTTTTTCAATTGACTTTGGAGGATCCCGAGAAGCTATGTTCAGTGGTTTTGTTTCATTTTCCCACATTAGTGCACTTTCACAGATACTAAACAGTTAATAAACCACCGTTATTACACCATTTAAACCCGAAGAAATACTAAATAGATAAAATAAAACAAAACACACAACTTCACTCTTCGCGTTCCCGCCAAAAAGTCTGTACACAGCTTTGTATGTTTTTTTTTTTACGTTGCATTGTGATATTATATCTTTGGCCGGCTTCGCTTTATTCGACGTACAGCACGCTATATACTTATTTAGGCGTCACTTAAAGGTATAGCTATTTTCACTGCACGAATTGTATGCACAGCCCAACCACAAAAAAACGAATATCAATACTAGTTATTCCCGATACGGTAAATCAGAATAATAGCGCTATCATGCTTTATTCAAGTTATTNTTGCATTGTGATATTATATCTTTGGCCGGCTTCGCTTTATTCGACGTACAGCACGCTATATACTTATTTAGGCGTCACTTAAAGGTATAGCTATTTTCACTGCACGAATTGTATGCACAGCCCAACCACAAAAAAACGAATATCAATACTAGTTATTCCCGATACGGTAAATCAGAATAATAGCGCTATCATGCTTTATTCAAGTTATTTTCGTATAAAAAAACATGTAAATATATCGTTATAGATGTAATAAATTAATATGTAGTTTAAATAACCTCCGATACACATTGATACTTAAGGCACTACGCCCTAAAAAGTGAGAGTAAACGTTTATGTGAGATAGTTTATTAATATTATTATTATTGTAAACTAAAATTAATATATTAATGATGCTTTCAAACAGTTGGACTGTAAATTCAATTATTTTTTTTAAATTTTATGGTAATGTTACCATCTATTAATTACCTTTATATAAAATGAATTAGTGAAGAACAAACACATTTTTAGAAAAAGTGTATCACGCATTTCTTTTCCATATCCGCCTCCCATTTCATATGACCCTAGTTAACATGCGAAATAACTGTGACTGGTTACCGCAAATCGAATTAGCCCAAGTTAATTTGAATTTAAGAATCGATGAAAACGATATGTAACAGTTGAATATCAATTCAGTTAGTCTTTGGTTAATCTTCTCGTGTGATCATCACAAGGATACCTACTATAAACATTTGTTACCTTATATTGTTTTGCTATCAAGACAATATCTTTGTTAGATTGTCGACTCATGAAGTACTTATATCAATAAAATGATAAATTTATTTGCTTCATAAATAAATGTAGTGTTTTGCTTTATGATAATGTAGTATATCGTTATTGTTGTTAATGTAGTATATGTTAACTATTACATATTTTACAGCCGATGTTAATAATATTTTGCCATTTCGATGCCTCCAATGAAGACTACTCTAACTCAAAATTTTGAAATTTTCGTTTTTCACGCAAATCGCTTCACTATTTTAAAAGTATTACAAATTCATTATTGATGGGGTTCGAAGGAAGAGTAAATCAGCTAGTTACACAAGAAAAAGCCATAAATATATCTGCAATAATAAAGTTTTATCAGCTTTTTTCGTTTAAACGCTCTTCCTGTAAACCTACGAATTTGGAGTTAGAGTAGTGTTCATTGGAGGCATCGATTTGATACATAGTTAGTAAAGTGTTATTTAAGTATAATACCGAGCTTCTCTGCGATGTAATTAACCCATAGACAGCCCACTGAGTTTCTCGCCGGATCTTCTCAGCGGGTCGCGTTTCCGATCCGACGGTAGATTCCGCGAAGCACTGCTCTTGCTAGGGCCAGTGTTGCAACAACGTAATGTTTGAGCCCCGTGAGCTCACCTACACGTTAGGGTGAAGCTGATATAGCCTCTCAAGGCTATCAGCATAGGGAAAAAAGCGATGTATACGTCTAAAGTAATAAAGAAATTCGTGTGCATAAAACGGTGAACATAATAGAGAGCAATGACCGCAGGAGGCAGTGGCGAAGGCGCAAGAAACGCAACTGGCTGAAGTGGCCGCTGTGTTACGCGCCGCCTGCCCCGCCGCCGCGCCCCATGACCCCTGCGCAGACCTCGCCTGGTTGAGAACCTTCGCCGACAACCTCGGACAATTGCTGCTGCAGCAGAAGGACTTGCTGCTCAAGGAGACCGAGAAGCAGGCGACAGTGGTCACGGCGCCGCCCTCTGACGACCGACTCAAGGAGCTGGCCGATCAGAACGAACACCTCCAGGGTCTCGTCGACAAATACAAGACGATCATAGACGACACGGTAAGGGGTCACATTTCTGTTTTTGCAAAAATTGCTCATGTATAGATTTGGACTATACTAGATTATAATAATTGTCCCATCCCAATTGTTGAGCAAAGAAATCTTATAATCGTATAGAAATTTAGTTAAAATATATTAAAACCGATCATTTAGTTTTATGCTTATAAAAAGCACGGAAATTTTCACAAATATCAAATATATTTAATAATATGGGTTAGAATAGCCCGTTAAATCTGTAGTAGACTGTGCCATGACTAGCCTTGGGACAAAGTAACCTAACAATTATTATGCTCATGCAGTAGATTGCCACCGTTCTGCCGTTTTTAAAGTAAAACTTAAAGGACAGTTTGAAGTAAAAGAAAGCTCCTGTTATTAGAAAGGAAACCGACTCGCAAGGCGATGACGTCATGGATATGTATGTAGCTGAAACTAGCAGAACTGCAGTATCATCTCGTGCAAGCTGCAAATGATGCTGCAAACGTAGACCTTACAAATAATAAATAATCGATACTTTTTGTGTCTAGCCTATAAGACATTTTTTTCGAAATTTTCATTAGGAGGGCGTGTTAAGCCGGCTACAGCAAAACGTGACGACAGAGGAACAGCGATGGGCGCAACAGCTCGCCGACAAACAGCGGGAACTCGATGAACTACGTCAGAGAACTGTTTCGCAGGTACGTACGTCCAGCACTAGAGTGGACTATTTACTTTAATTGATTTTTTTAAAGAGATTTTATGACCTGGTAACTAAGACCTTTAAGTCATGTCTTATTTTTATTTATATTCTTATTTTTATAAAATGAAATGAAGATGATTAATTTGAGACATTAATCAGCTGGGATGAAATTAAATGAAATGAGATAAGATGATATGGGATGAAATATAATCTCAGTAAAATGGCGGACATTTACTGTGATTGTTTCGTTGGACTTTTTGGAGGATCTCGAAAAGTTACGTCCAGCGGTTTTGTTTCATTTTCTCTTTTCAAAAGTCTTACTTTAATTGAATTTATAGAATTCAAAACACGAACGTAATTGCCGACGTCGATACGTCATATCGATGTTGCATTTCGGAAACAACTTGTACAACAAGCGAGCTTGATTTCAAATCGGAATCAATAAACGGTTCACAGCACTAGTGGGTAGTGACGTGCGAACTCACAAAATAGAGATGTTTATTTACCAAAAAAAATATAGCAGTAATGTTATTTTGTTAATAATAATTATAATTTCAAACAGTTAAATAGAATTGAGTCTAACTTTTTCGGTAGGAACCGCTGGCGTTCGCCTACGCCTGCATCGAAAAATCGTTGCCTGCGATTATTGAGGAGGTATAACAGTCGAGTCGATCCGATCGCACTCTGTGTGCTTCTGTGTCGCTATCGTGATTGTGTCACTTGGTCTTATTTATATCTAGGCGTTTGGACTTTGGTATATTGGTTGTTAAATGTTGTTCTTCTATGGAATGCGCTCCCACTCAAAATAAGGTCGGCCACTACACGTGAAGCGTTTAAGACGAGGATTCGAGAACTGTTTCTCAGAGAGTTAGCAGAGTCATCTAATTGATAATATTTATTTATAATTTTTTTTATATCTATATACTTATGTATATGTATTTATTTAAGTACGAGTATTTGTATCTATAAATGTTATGTATGTTATATATACACATATGTTTAAGTTTTTTTTTTATTGCCCTTGTAGGCAGACGAGCATACGGCCCACCTGATGGTGAGTGGTTACCGTCGCCCATGGACTTCAGCAATGCCAGGGGCAGAACCAAGCCGCTGCCTACCGCTTAAATAATTTACTATTAATATCACTATCACACTACACCTACCAAGATTCATCTCTGCACCCTCCTATGGTAGAGCGTCAGAGAATGCCTATGGCATTAAGTCTGCCTTTATACTGTCTAGTATATAAATTAAGTTATAAATAAATAAATAAATAAACTACAAGCTCTTCAAAACGTCACACACTTGACTCGTTCTGCGTTGTTGAACAATGTCATCCTTCGCCTGGTGATGGTGCAAAAATAAAATGACACGGAGTATTAAATTTTTATTTTGTTCAGATGCAGAAAAAGATTGATTCGTTGCAAGAAGAACTGGCGCAGGCCAAATCAGCGCGACACAATCACACGTTCGCCGACGCCGAGCGTCTCGCCGAGGTAAAATATTTTTTAATAAAATAATATAAATTAATTTTGCACAAACCTTAAACTATTTAAAATGATTAATGGAGACGATGAACATTACAACGGGTATGTACTCGCCCATTTTGAGACATGAGGTCGAAATCTAAGTTTTGCAACGACCGTCTCACCTTTCAACCGAAATGGATTACGGCTTCATGGCAAAAAATTCAGGATTGTGGCACTTACCCGTACGGGCTAACAATACGCCCTAATAATAATTTAAACTGATTGTTGGTCGTGTTGTGAGTGGCATGGGTAGGAACCACCGCCCTGCCCATTTCAGCCGTGAAGCAGTAGTGCATTTGGGTTTGAAGGGTGGGGCAGCCGTTGTACTGTAAAAATTGAGACCTTAGAAATCATATCTCAAGGTAGTTGGCTGCGTTTACGTTTGTAGATGTCTATGAACTTCGGGGACCACTTAACATCAGGTGGGCCGTGAACTCGTCCATCCAACTAAACAATAAAAAAATAAAAGAATAAGTACATTTTATGCAAATTATTAAATAAATAAATATCTGTAAATAAATATTCAATTGTTTATGTCACAGGAAAGACTGATGGCGGGTTTGTCTGATAAACATACGGATATCAGCAACGGACCGTTACAGGTGAGCTATCTCTAAACATTACAGCACAAGAGAATATTCAACAAATTATTATTGACGAAACAAACTTCTTGGAGATCTCACCGCCCATAGAATGCCTCTGTCTACCTCGAGATTAGTTAGTATCCAGTAGAGTCCAAGACTAGTGTTTTTTTTTTCCTACCTATGCTGATAGCCTTGAGAGGCTATTTCAACTTCTCCTTGACTTATAGGAGAGCTCACGGGGCTCAAACCGGAGTGTTGCTAACACTGGCCCTAGCAAGATCCGGCGAGAAACTCAGTGGGCTATTTTGATTACTATACGATGACTTACTTATTGCTGCCATAGAATATAATACTATTGCCGCCGATTTGGTCTGGAACTTTTTGATAGAGTACCGTCTAATCCGATGTATTTATAGGTAATTTGTATGTACATATAAGTGCATATATGTATATGCACAGCTACAGTCTGCTGAAAACAGCTTATAACGAACATTTATACAGTAACATAAATATTGTAGGTAGGCAATAAAGTATGTTACATGCTATAAGCATTATAAACAGTGTGCTTAGTGCGAGTTTTTTAACGTTCTCGATAGCGTAAAAGTTAGCTCATATTTGTATGAAATAGGATCGTTTGCCTACGTTTGCCGCTAGGGGCGCTGTTCCAACTGCATACAAAATTGGGTTAACTTTTACTCTATCGAGAACGTTAAAAACTCGCACTATGCACACAGGATTATAAAGTTCCCCACTTTATAAAAATTTATTCCCACATATCTGACGCAACATGACGGCGAATGGCTTCACCGATTCGACAGATTTATTTATTTGTTTCAGTTTTGCTCGTAATTGTTAAGACAGGACTTGTATTAGATGAAAAAACCTGAAAGGAAGTCGGTGGTAGTGTTATAACAGAACTAGCTGTACCCTTCCGCTTCGCTGGCCATTTAAAATAAACATTATTATTTCTCACCCCCACAAAGATTTTCATCACTAACGCCCCCGCAACTGGTGTAGGGAGTCCAACGCTCATATAAATATTAGCCTATCCATTAATTACATGTATTTTCTACATGGATACCAAGTTTCAATGCATGATTCAGTAGTTATAACGGAACATCCGTAAAAACTACTGTAGATTTATATATTAGTATAGATTATTTCGTTGAGTAAAGATGAAAGTCATAGTCTAAATTGATTATGATATGAACTTTTTTTTGTTGTTTTCTAGCTCGGCTTGGAAAATAAATAGCACTTGGAAACAGGAAGCTTGTACAAAGCGATGTCGAGTGATCATTCCTATCCGGAGAGCGACTGCCCGTGTAGGTAGCATGCGGCGCGCTCCTATACTTACGATTATTCGATAAATAATTATAAGTTTGTAAAGGACTCACATCCGTTACTGTTACTCCCTCCAGTTTAAAAGGAATCTAATTTCGTCAATGTCGCTCGTTCTTGTATCTCATTTCACTTTCATCAACAGTTTAGTAACTAAAATCTTTGTTTTAGTTTTTATTTTTTTGTAATGCCGTCCACTTATACTCAATATTTGTTGGTGTAGTAAGATACTTTGATAATGATCTTAAAACCATCCAGCCCATGTGTCACTGTGTGATTGTAATAACACATTTAAAAAAAAAAAAAGCTTCGAACTTAGATTCCTAAATTATCAGTGAGTAATAGATAATGTGTATTTAGGAGTTAGATTTAGAATTATAAGTGCATCGAAAGTGAACATTTACAAAATTCTAACCAATTAATCATCTATGCTATTAAATGGCAACTTTATATAGAAATTACGAATCAATGATTAATTACACTAATTTAATAAATGTAACATCAAATTATAATCCATTGTTTTCTTCATATATTTATTAGTTGCAACGTTTTATTGTTAAAGGAATGTTAAACAAAAATTTCTATCAGTGCCTTAGGGTAAAATTGAAATAGAAATCTGACTTGTATTTAATTTCTTAGAAATGATATGAAGGTAATACGGTAAATAACGATCATAAAATTCCTTTAATATTAAGGGATATTATATTTAAAAGTATGTTGTATTGTTATAAATGTTTATTATTTCGATTTTGTGAAGACGACTTTTTTATTTTAGTGAATCATTGTGTCAAAAGTCATGAAACGTGTAATAATTATAGTGAATAAGTAAAATTTAATTATTGTATAATACGTAAACTTTGTATAATAATGAAAAATAAAGACATCAAGAAAATATTATTTCGAGTTTGTTTTAAATTCATCTAGTTTAGGTTTAGCTGCAGCTCCTATAAAATTTGAGAGTCACTGACTGTGGAGAATTTGCGAACAACAAAATCTTGAACATAACATTATTAAACTTGTGGCAACACAAGGGTAAAAAAATATTTCTAAGCTGAAACCATATTATACAATTTTAAAAGTAATACGGAACAATCAAGGAACGAAAGTAATATTAATTTACTAAATAAAGCGTCAATAGTTGTTTACATAACTTAAAGTTTCGTGAATGCACATTGTAACCCAAAGCTGACAGTCATGAGTCATGAGACAAGATTTTGACCATCAATTTGTTTTTATTAAATAACACGTTTCCTGAAAGTTCTAACACACTCTGTAGAATTCGTAAAATGTTTGATAACATTCGTAAGTGCAGTCTACTAGGTATGAGGTGTAAGTTTCACAAAAATGTTGGTAGGGCTGAGCAGATTCGGAGATGTAAAAATTGAAACGATATCAAACCAAATTATTAGACGAACCTGTTAGATCCGCAACTACGTTCCCGCTGTTTTTTCTATGGAAATGCAACATTATTTTGAAAAAATGCTTACAAATGAATAATTCAAAGTATTGCCCATTAGTAGCTACTACTTGATAATGACCTACTGGTGGAAGAATGTCTTGACATGGATAGTCCGCACGGGTAGCTACCACCACCCTGCGTATTTCTGCCATGAGGCAGTAATGCATTTCGGTTAAAAGGATTGGACAACCGTTATACTATAAAACTGAAACATGTCACTCATATTTTAAGGTGGGGGTGGCATTTACGTTGTTTATATCTACGGGTTTCGATAACCACTTAACACCAGGTAGGCCCCGAAGTCGTCCATCCATCTAGACAGATACCGCAGTTGTAACAAAAAATCGTGCGAATTTAAAATAAACGATAATAGTCTGATTACATTTTAAAATTAAAGACATTTTCACTGAGCTTCCTCAGATTCATAGCAATAATTTTGTAACGAGATGGACTATATAGTCATAAATTTTACACCACCTTGGAAACCTTAATATTTTTTAAGTCATGCGAGACTCCGATGTGATATTTTTTTTTTGAGTAGTTTATGAAACTTAAATAATCGTCTATAGGAAAAAAGTCCTACTTCATCATTTTCGAGTTTGTTTCTCTAAAATCGAATTACTACTAAATCTAACTACTATTTTGTAACATATCATACTTATGTTATACAACATTTGTAACTATTTGGTAATATGTATTATGTAAAGATAAATTTAAAAAAATATTAATGTTTGTTGGCTCAATATAAAAAGTCGTGGAATCCGTTAGAATCATTTTAACTTTTTGACAACCCTTTGATTTAAAAAAATGATCCAAATTATTTTTAGATAGATAAGCAAAGAATCGTTCCCTATGTTTGGACCATTATTTACGGAACACCCTCTAAATTACGTGTATTTCTATGAATATCTGATTCGATGTACATAAAGCGTATACATATATGAAGCGTAATCTAAGCTCTACGCTCATAATTATTATTGCTGGTAGGACCTTTTGTGAGTCCGCACGGGTAGTTACCACCACCCCGCCTATTTCTGCCGTGATGCAGTAATGCGTTTCGGTTTGAAGCGTGGGGCAGCCGTTGTAACTATACTAAGACCTTAGAACTTATATCTCAAGGTGGGTGGTGCATTTACGTTGTAGATGTCTCTGGGCTCCAGTAACCATTTAACATCAGGTGGGCTGTAAGCTCGTTCACCCATAAAAGAAATAAAAATAATAATAATTAATCTCTGTAGGGACCTTGGGTCATACGCTTGGATTTTATTATTATTTATATATTTAATTCTACCTGGGGATCAGTTTTTTATATATAAAGTCAATATTTGTTATCTTTCCTCTACATTTTAAGTTCTATCTTTTTCAATAAGAAATGAACCAATCGCATTAAAGAATAGATTAAGTTCATGTTTTTTGTACCTACTAACAAAATTTGCCCCTGAAAAGGATAATCTAGTTTTTTGAAGATTTATTAGCCTGGTAATAATTAAGCTAGATTTGTAATAGATACGGTACCCTCAGTTGTATGAAGTGTAGAACTATGGAGGCCAGGGTAAAGCTACTTTTATCCGCCATGTTCTAGTCGTAAAGAAGCATAGATACACTTCAAAAAGTCAATTCAAATGTCATGTTCAAGTAAGCTGTAGTGTCAAAAAATAATAACAAGCTACAAAATGTCATTTATAAAATATTAACAAAGATTTTGTTTCAAATTTAGAACAAAAAATATAAATATGTCTGATGTAGCAGTAAAAAATGTTGATAGTGCTTGTGAGACAGCTGAAGAATTTACTAGAGTGTTTTACAAACAAGTAGACAACAGCCGCCATCTAACCTCAAAATTGTATTTGGATACTGGATTACTTGTTTGGAACGGCAATGGTATCAGTGGCAATGACAAAATACAGAAATTCTTGATGGATTTGCCTGCAAGTAACCATACGCTGAAAAGTTTAGATGCTCAACCAATATCTGATGTCTTGGTTGCAAATAAATTGACGTACCTCATCCAAGCTTGTGGAGATGTTACTTATCAAAACGAAGAAACAAAGAAACCATTTCAGCAAACTTTTCTCATAGTGGCAGTTGATGGGAAATGGAAGATAGCCTCGGATTGTTTCAGACTCCAAGTTCCTTATGGAAATTAATTTTTATTTTATTATTAAGTTAAATGTACCAATTGCTAAGCAAAAATTTTATTTAAGAAATACATTAAAAATTCTTTTTCACCATTAAATGACTTTCAATTATGCCACTGTTAAAATTTAGAGTATTGACCTAAAAACAGATTGCAATTTGGACAATAATGCCTTGTTTTCTTAAACAGTGGGAAAATATACGGCATTGTTGCAAGACAACATAGCATACACCATCTAGAAAAAAAAGAAAACTTGCAATAATCCATTAAAGATATGTAAATAATCAAATAAAACAGTTTTTTAGTGCACTTACAATGTAAATCCACATATGAAGCCAGCCAACATATGAGTTTTTTTTGAGTTTTTATACTCTACTTTGGTGAGAACTGTCTCATTACATTTAGGGCAATGAAAAAATATTGGTGAAGCCTTCAGTTGTGGTTGTATTATTACTGTTTGATGTATAACAGGTGCTTCTATCACATTTCTCTGATCCCAAGGAGTGTATGGTGGAGGTTCTGATCTGACATAATTTACAGTTTCTACATTAAAGTCTGCTTGGACAGAATCACTCTGGGCTGGATTTATACCATCACTCATCATTCTATACTAAAGTTTTAACAATGTATTTTATGTATCTGTCATGTTGATTACAAAATAACACCTTTAAAATACCTTTATCTGCTAGTCACTGCTTCAGTTATCTTATCATACAGTTGAATAAGATTAGACTTATATCCTATTTCCCTATACGATGGAATAATTTCACAAACTTATTTTCATCTTTTTATTTTCATTCCAAATCTAAATAATAATAAACTTACAATAAAATTAATCATTATAATAATATAATTCAAATTTTTTCCATAACTTAGGTAGTTTAGTGCCTGAAAGTTAGCATTACAGTAGATTTTAAATTCCTGCCACAGCTTCACTGCGTTTTTGAAGAAAAGTGTCAATTGATTTTTCTAAAGATAGCAATACAGATATAAAAATATTCCCACAGGGAATGAGAAATTTTTTTGCGATACAAGGTGGCCTATGTCACTCACCTGACCTGAAGTTTTAGGTTTAAAAACTGAACTCACTAAAAAAATCATGCCAATCTGCTGCTTTGTTTCAACATGAATGAACAAACCAACACAAACAAACACACTTTCATATTTATGATATTAGTGTGGATTTATTACAATATTATCATTCGGTTATTAGTGATACACACATTAGTGTCACTCACATTTGTGTGACAATATAACAATTACAGAAATATTCATAAACATAAGTCATGAAACAATCATGTCATTATAGTATTTGTAAGAGTTCATAATGCTCTTATTCCTTTGAACAAAGTAAAATGAATTTTATACATTGTAGAATATAATCATTCAGTACAAAATAATACGTCTATTGTTTTTTTTATAGTTTCATATTATATTGGTTTGGTATATGCCAGTACTTTATTGAATAAGAACAAGATACAATGATACTAAATAATTTTTATTTTAACTTTATTATCATTAAAATATTCTAATGGAATGCTCTAGTAAAATAAAATGAATATCACAAAATATATTAATTTATCATTATATTTTTGCAATGACAATAAATAATAAAACCATATTTTGTCAGTTCATTGTTTTGTCATGGCAAAAATTTCTCACATGTTACCACAAGGATGTATGTGATTTCATATTTCATTTATACAATCATCATGGTTTTTATAGACATAACTTTTTTGAATATTACATTTATAACTTACCAACAAATAATGCTTCAAGTTTCTAAATTTAATGGTCAATATCAAAGCAAGACATTTATTTTTTTGTTTAATTAATAATGTATAAATGAGATACATTTTATTAAAATTGCTGATTATTTTGGTAAGCTAATTTCAAAGTCTACATGCTCTAAATTTAAAATGCATTTCCACCACTTATATACCATGAAGTGTATAAACATCACAAGAGAACATCATTAATCAAAAACATTCTATTTAGAATGAAATGATAATAATGCTACAGGAAATACTGCATATATATTTCTTAGCCTCTTCTCAAAATTGTAGATATTTTAAATTTAGTGACTTTACATTATGCATAAAGGACACCAATTTTAAATATATTTATTTCACTGAAATTAACACTTGTTGCTTTTGCCGATGAATGTGTTGCAATTAGGGCAGTAGTGCTCAGCCTCCTTGAATGTATCAAAGCAGTACGGGATCAAACCCAGGCAGCATAGTGAACAAACTCTGAAAAAACAAAATGAGTTAAAAAAAATTGCAAATTAAATCAGATTACCAATGTTTTTACAAGGTCTGGCCATAAATATCATTACAATAATAGTAATAACAATGATAATATATTTCAATACATTTGAATTTACCATCTCAATATTACAAGTTATTTTTATTGTAAATCTTCATAGTTCAACTTCATCGTTTTATTCTTTATTATCTCTAATTGGGAATACTATGCAAGGACCATAATAATAACTAGTCCATCTGTAGAAGTAACCTCATTTGATTTTCCTCTCATATCTTCTGAATGAATCTTCAGGATAAAGGGCAAAAGCATCTAAGAGCTCTTTTTATGTTATTTTTCAAAAACCACTATTAACAAAGCAACTTTTACCATTTAGTTCTTATTTTCATTTTAAAATATCTGGTCATCAGTGACAAATAATGAAAACTATTTCAAATGTTGAAATTTGTAAAATATAAATAATTACACAAAATAAAGATGTAAGAAACTTCATCAAAATAGTTTGTTAACACCAGTAACTTGGGAAAACACTAAAACACAACATTTTGCCTTACAGATTTTCTTCAAGGCTGTAGACAATCTGTCAAAAGTGATTTTAAATTATTATGTAACAAATAATATAATAAGATTATATATATTACATACAACTAATGTTAATGATTTCAAAAGTATGGCTATCTATTACCTTCTAAAACTAGGTACCAGTAAAGGCTGTAACAGATTAGCTAGTTCATATACTATGATATGTATTTATTCTGCTATAAAGAATTATTCTTTTATGCTATAGTTATAAAAAACTTTTAAATGAGTCATACTTACATAGTGATCAAGCAAATCGACCCAGCAATTAAATGTGTGTGCCAAGCTGTTGTGTATGTAACTCTTGTAGTAACTATTTTATTACAGTTGAAACATGTTAAAGTGGTTGGTTCTGTACCCATAGCGTTTGGAAGAACAATACCGACTGGTAAGCCTGGTGGTGGAGGTGGTATTCTAGAAGGCTGCATATTTACAGTTGCATTTGTTACACCTTCGGGATGAGGGTAAACTCCTGGAGGAGTAAATGGTTTAGCAGGTGGATATGCTCCTACAGAATCCGGGATAGGATTACTTAGTGCCGGAGCCACAAAGCCATAATGCGTAGTTCCTACAACCGATGAGTACGGCGGTGGAAGATCGTCTAGTGGCGCACTAGGTCCTTGATGGGTAGACATTATAATGCCGGTGCAACAGAAGTTTTTAGTTAATTTAACACTTTCTTCAATTAAATGAATAAAAACTGAATGACTCCCAGTTTTATGAAAAAAACGAGAAAGGTGCAGTATTTAGTTCACTTTAGACTAATTAATTAGCTTCTCTTTGGCCGTAAAGCCCACAATTACTCGTCTAACAATTGACACTAAACAATGAGAAGATAATTTACGGAAAGTACACTATACATTCAAGATATAATCATCAATTCATCATTTTTTATCTTAAACATAGGATGGGTTATTGTGTATAATTTTTTTTAAGGTGATTTTATGACCTGGTAACTAAGACCTTTAAGTCATGTCTTATTAATTCTTATTTTCATGAAAAATGATGAAATGAAATGAAGATGATTAATTGGAGACGTTAATCAACTGGGATAAAATGAAATTAAATGAGATGAGATGATATGGGATGAAATACAATCTCAGTAAAATGGTGGTCATTTACTGAGATTTTTTCAGTGTACTTTTTGGGGGATCCCGAGAAGCTACGTTCAACGGCTTTGTTTCATTTTCCCACTTTAGTGCACTTTCACAGATGTTAAACAGTTAATAAACCACCGTCGTTACACATTTAAACCTGAAGAAACACCAAACAGACAAAATAAAACAAATCACACAACTTCACTCCTCGCGTTCCCGCCAAAAAGTCTATTGTGTATAATAGATAGATGTAAATAAAGGTGCACGTATATACTATAACAGTTGCATATCAGGTAAATTTTGATATTATGCGGTATTAAGCCCAAGCGAATATCTGTTATTTTGAATTAAGGGGCGGACCTCCTCGGAGGTCACCGAGCAGGGGTGTTCGCGGCTTGGCACCCATGATGATATAGGCCACCTAATAAGCGACTCCCCTGCATTTCCGCCAGACCCACCCAATTTTCGTCTAAGTTAGAATCTGGTGGAAGTAGAAGAGGCTGCTGTAGTCAACAATGCAATCTGACGAGCGGCTAACGTCAAGGTCTTTGATCGTACTTGAGATTTTCAGTAAAACAAATGTGTATACATGTCGTCATTGGAGGCATGCTGATGTCTGCGGGCCGCACGAACTTCAATTAATCTAAATTTACAAAACAGACGTATTTATCTTATCTATCTATCTAACACAATCTATCGAAGTACCATGTTATTATTTTGCCATGGAATAATAAGTTAATCTATGAAACTGAGACTCCAAATAGTTCAAGTTAGTTATTTCATAAATTTGCAACGCAATGTACTTGGTTTGCTTTAGACCTTTTTAGTCAATAGATTATGCCGTGCGCACTGCGTAGGGATAGAGACGTGGATTTCGTATTTAGGTCAAGCATTTATATTTTTTTTTTCCTACTTATGCTGATAGCCCTAGCGGCAGGTGAATGAAGTTAGACCGTAAAAAATTTTTTTTTTTCCTATTTTATACTTATTTTCTATTAATTCGTTTGTTCATCATTTGTTCATGATTGTTCACTGTTAATAATTGTTTGTTCTGCATTTATTTATTTAAAAAAAATATTTAAAAATATACCTACAAGTTAGCCCCTCTAATGCAATTTTTAATATTTTTTCATCCTTAATGACTCGTAAATATTCATTTTCGATTGTTCTTATATAAAACACGTTTGTTCTCTTTTGAAATTACTCGTTTTTTGTTTAATTTACTATTTTTATTAGTTGAATAAATGTATGCAAAATATGTGTACTGCGCATGCGTCAACTATAATGCCTAAACATTCTACGCGGTTTTAATCGTGAAAAAAAAACAAATATAAATCCTGAAGGAGCAATTAATTGGTATACAGTTTAATTAAAAAAATTAAAAAATAAATAAATGAAATAATGTGCATTGGCGTTAAGTTAGACCAAATACATTTTTTCCATTATCTTACCTATCGTATTAAAATGTTATTTTACTAATGTTAGGAATATAATTTCGACTGTGTAAAAAAGTTATTATAATGTATACCTATATTATCTCTTGAAAGATAAATAATGAACATATTTACTTATTTGTTTATATTACCTATGTGAACTCCCTATCTTTTTTATACCTTCATAACGATAAGTAGGAGGATGGAAAAAATGTATTTGGTCTAACTTAACGCCAATGCACA